TATCAATTAATATATAAAATAGTAACTAAAAACACATCTCAAAATCCCTCCTTATACTTGCTACAATAAGTAATTTTTTTGTTTGTTTTTTGAAAAAATTGGGATACCCCTCCTAAATGAACGGTTTGAATATTTAGAAAATTTGAAACAAAATAACATAATTCATTGTGGTAATCCAGTTTCAAAGAAACCTATTTTTATGAAAAATTAGTTCCAAATTTTCCGAATAATTTTGGAAAATCCGCCAACTTCACAGTTCACAGTTTCAAACTCCAATCTCACAAGTCTTTGTTGTATAGAAGATTTATTTTCTATAAAATAACTAATCAGTAATACTTTATCCAGTTTTACAACACACTAGCGCGAAACTCGTGCGATGCACGGGATGGTATATTTTCTTGAAATGTTTAACGTGTGAAATATTAAAAATAATATAATATATATATATAACAAAAATAAATGGATTGCAAAGAAGGGAAAAAATATAAATTATTGAACACTTTCTTTGTGAAGTAAAATTTGTGAACCTTTGATATATTTGATTATGAATAGAAAAGTATGAAATACTACCTGCGGACCGTTGAGATAGATGAGAAGATTTACTTAGAATATATATATAATAAATATTGAGATAATGATTTACCTTTTACCTAGTACATATAAAATTAATATTGACATGATGTTGGAAAATTATGACATAAATTCGTTTAGAAGTTAGTAGAAAATATTAAAAAATTAGATTTATTTTTTATTTTTAAATCCTTACAGTAATTCGTACGCTCCTTTTCATACGCTTAATTTATCAAGTTTACACATACAAATCAAAATTAATGCAACTCGAAATATTATATAAAATGAGATTTTTTATCTAACATTTAGTATATTGCCAGAAAATCTTTTATAAATCTTATTCTCTTTTTATGCACATAGATATTAAAGAATGAGTAAAAAAATTATCTAAATATGTTTAAAAGTATCTAATATTATATGTGTTAACAATGTTACAACCAAAAGACATTAAGAATACGTAGACTATTATATAACATATGTGAAAGTATTAAAATATTTTATATTATTATCGAAAAATGTGAAATTACCTCAATTCTGTCTAGACTATTTTATAAGAAAAATATATATACTTAAAGTTAGCATACACACACATATATATATCCTTAAAGTTTGCCCAACTAACATGTTTAAAAGTATATACAATTTTATATATAAAAACACGTTTAAAGTTTACATATTTTACAAAAATTAGACTGCTCTCAGTTTATATAAAGTTTGTTACTCTCATTTTCGGATAACGTATTATGCATTTAATGAAAGCACCCTACGATACAAATTTATAAATATTAATTAAAATAATTTTCTAAATTATATAAAATTGAAATAACAAAGGTAAATATTACCTGTTCATCATGAAACAGTATATGGAATGCGTTACAGCTCTCCCGTTCGTGATGGGTTTCAATAATGCGGGGTGCTGTCAGACGCAAAAAAAAATTTGTTTCTTTTGTTAACAGAATCAAGTGTACCCCAGCCTGGAAGCATTATATTGTATATGCGATGAAAAATTATTCTCTGTTAACTCGTGAATGATGAGTTGTAATGGTGGTAGTGAATATCCTTTTATACAATTTTTTATTAACCAATTTTTTATTAACCAAAAGTGATAAGATAATTATGGATTGTATTGGGATAGATAGTAAGTCCCATGATTTTTGCAACGGACCATCAATTTCACATATTTTTTATTAACCAAAAGTGATAAGATAGTTATGGATTGTATTTGGATAGATAGTAAGTCTCATGATTTTTGCAACGGACAATCAATTTCACATGCTAATTAACGGAAAAAACACCATTATTAAGGAGAATATCTATTTGCTTAATTAACGCAAATTTCATGCTAAATTAACGAAATATCCACTGCCTTTTCACGATTTTTCTTCTGATTTTAAAGTAGAATACATAAATAGAAAGTCAAAAGTCAACTCAATTATTTTTAGGTTTCTAAAAAAAGATTTTTACATCAACCTTTTTAGATATATATAGATACCAAATTTTTTGGGACACTATCAATTAGTTTTGGCAATAATGCTAAGGAGCCAACTGTTGGTTCCGTTATGGAGCCAACAGCCAATGGGATAGCTCCGGGCTGTCCTACATTGGAGCCATGTTGGACAGCCCACATGGAGCTATCCCATTGGCTGCTGTTGGCTCCGTTAGTTGGCTCTTAGCATTACTGTTAGTTTTGGTACTAATAAAATCACAAATGATTTATTTTCTATAAAATAACTAATCACGTACCAAATTTTTTGGGACACTATCAATTAGTTTTGGTACTAATAAAATCACAAATGATTTTTGTAAAGAAATATTCCGTGTTGATAATTTTTAAGAGTCTAGCTAATATGTAGAACACGTGTTTTCGGTTTAACGAAAAAATTATATAATTAAATATTTTTATAATACCAAATTTATATAGATAAACATGATAAATTATGCATTAAATTAGTTGATATCCTATCACATTATTTTTTTTTTAATATACAATTCGCTTAATTTTTAACATTTTTTAAATTTTTAGCTCTGCCTGATGCACGGGTTGCCCCATAAATATTGTAATCTCAGCTTAATAACCATCCATATTGAGACTGTATACCTTTTAGTGTTTTAAAATATTTATAACGTAATTCGTCGTGTTTTAGTTCTTATACATAGCGTATATAAAATTTCTTATTGCGTAAACTATAAGAATATAAGATTTAGTTTGTTAGAACTATCAAAATATTTGAATATAATATAATTGGGTGGTTAATTTAAAAAAATTATCTTAATACATATTATATGACAATTTAATTTTAGAAAAAGTATAATAGTTGAGTACTATGATGAATAAAAAGAGGATGATCTTATTTTGGTATGAAATGTTAGAATTTATCTGATATAATTTGGTATGGATAGAAGTGTATTAAAAAAATTAAAAAATAACAAGTGGTGTGAATTTTATTTAGTATGAGTATGAAAGTTGAATTTTAGGTTGATTTATTATACAATCAAAGTGATGCAATTCTCAAATTTTAGCATATTCTCATATAACTTGCCATAAGATATTGAAGATAATTCAACAAATTGATATGTCTTCCTCTTGAAAATTAGAAAGATCTTTGCACAAATTTGTTAATAAAATTTAAATTTTGTAATTTAATTCTAGAAAATTAGTTGATAAATTTGAACAACAAGGTAACCGATAATAAATATAGAAAATTTTGAGATTAGTAAAATATTGATATATATAAAATATATAAAAGTATTTATTGTGTAGCTCAAATTTGGGTTCTAAATTTAAAATGCAAATAAGTAATTATTAATGACTTACTAATCAATATTAACTTGGATGTAAATAAAACAACCAATTATTTATAGTTTAATAAATTACTCAACTACTTAATTTTTTTTATTTAGATAATTTATAAAAAAATAAATTTATTTAATTTATGAAACAACATAGCTTTATTTTATCGAACCACATTGTATTCAAATCAAATTTCTTAATAAAATTTTTAAAAAATGTCACTTACTTTGAAATGAATTGAATATAATATAATTTATTACCAGTTATGTGCATCGTATGGGTCGTGTACTAATTTTAAATTGACATATTTTATGTAGTTTTGTACAATTTAAATTTCTTATAATATTTTAGATGAATTAATATAGGTAAATTGTATCACATATTGATTCTATATTTTTAATTTAAAAATACTATTTAATGAGCATTTTTAATTTATAAATATTAGTGAATATCTTTTACCCGTGCACCGCACGGGATTCATACTAGTTTAAGATTAAAACATGGAAAATAAAATATATTTGATAAAGATAATTTTAGTTTTTATCTGTCCAAAACTAATTACATATGAAGAGTTGTTGTTTTTCAAAAGTAATCAATTGAGTTGATCGACTTTTCATAACTTGTACATTGAGTAGCGTGAACTAAAGAGCGTTTTGTTAGGAAATGAATTGATCAAGGATTCGTGATACTAGAATGGGAAGTGGATTTCTATTTGAGAAAATATTTTTTTTTTACCTTGTTATAAAATTTATTAAGTTTTTCAAAGAGTACGTTAAATTTTTTTTCACTCTAAAATGTGTGGATAAATACAACAATTGTACAATTGATATTAAAAAATGCGATAGGTATGCATTCCATTTCACATATCCTTTCGTACTTTCTGTAATAAAAAAGTTAAAGTGCAAATAAATTATGATATGCAACAGTTGTACAACTGATATGTAGTCCATTCGAATAACTTTCGCACTTTTTGAACTAAAAAAATAAAATAATCTAATAATGATGTGAAAAACTTAATATATTTTATAGTGGGGTGAAAAAAATTTAATTTTGAAACCATATCATATTTGGAAATGTTTTTTTTTTCCTTTCTATTTAATTGAGTCTTAATTTGGAAACCATATCATATCATGGCACATCACGACCTTTCTTTTACACATATAAATACCACTGAAACAAAGTCTTAATTTGGAAACTATATATCACATCATATCATACAATATAACATCACATCAGGATATCATATTTGGAAATGTTTTTTTTCCTTTCTATTTAATTGAGTCTTAATTTGGAAACCATATCATATCATGCCACATCACGACCTTTCTTTTACACATATAAATACCATTGAAACAAAGTCTTAATTTGGAAACTATATATCACATCATATCATACAATATAACATCACATCAGGATATCATATTTGGAAATGTTTTTTTTCCTTTCTATTTAATTGAGTCTTAATTTGGAAACCATATCATATCATGGCACATCACGACCTTTCTTTTACACATATAAATACCACTGAAACAAAGTCTTAATTTGGAAACTATATATCACATCATATCATACAATATAACATCACATCAGGATATCATATTTGGAAATGTTTTTTTTCCTTTCTATTTAATTGAGTCTTAATTTGGAAACCATATCATATCATGCCACATCACGACCTTTCTTTTACACAAATAAATACCACTGAAACAAAGTCTTAATTTGGAAACTATGTATCACATCATATCATACAATATAACATCACATCACATCAGGGCCTCATTCACAAAATAATAAATTGAAACGATATCCATATCATATGGCAGCCTCTTTTTTTTCACAAAATAATTCCATGCGCAGGTGACCAAATTTTTATGTTACTTTTTTATGAACTCCAACATCAATACATATTAANAAAAAAAAAGAAAAAAAAAAATCAATACATACATTAACACATTAAAAAATTACATACATACGATGCATCACCTACGAGCTTCGCCTGTTTTACATCTCAAGGTTTTTTTAATTTAATACTAATGATATTAAAATCGGGGATATCTTGTTAGAAAATTAATTAATTAATTAATATTGGAATTGACCCGGTTTTACTTGAATGTTTTATAGCTAATTATTTAATTCGGACTTAATTAAATTACGTAGAAAAATTTCATACGTTCCAAGTAGATTCACGTGATATATTCATTTTTTAAAATATAATATTTAGATAGTGATCAAAATAAATGATTAAAGTTAGTAATTAATTGGTACGTAAAATGTTGGTTGTGAGATCAAAATGGTCACAAGTAGGCTTTTAAACAAATCAATTTTTTTTTTATTCGATTCGATATTCGAATTCAATATTCGTGATTCGAATTCGAATTCGAATACGAATAATGTTTTATATTCGAAAGTTAAACGAATATGAATTCGAATTTGTAGATATCCGATTCGAAATTTGAATATTCGATTCGTTAATGATAATGTTGATAAACGGAATTGTATCAACGACAAAGTACACCCCTATTCCGTGAATAATCGGTGTAGGATCGATTATGTATATTGAAGATGGAAAAATCAAGAATGTTTTGTCTTAGTTTTGTAGAGAGGAGATGAATGAATAGAATTTCCCCTCTTTCATAGCCCCATATCTATATACTGTATACATGTCTTTTCTTTTTACAAGTGGGGCAATTAAGAAACATATAAAAGGAGTACACTAGTATTTAATGTGATATGATGTCGTGGGGCCCGATCGTGACACTTGACGGCTTCGATTGACATCTACTTTATCGGCAATTATTGTGTCTGTCGGAAACGAAACTTCTCGATATTCGGGTCAGCTTATAATATTAATTCTGCTCGGCTCGAATGTGGATCATCTGAGCACTTGGAAACTCGGTCGATATTAAATACTCAGCTCTGAGAACCTACCATATTTATATTTATTTAATACATATCCACGTGTAGCATTTTTTATTAGTCGACGCTAAATTGGGTATCAACATTAGGCCCCCGACTTTAGGACATGTTCTGAACAGAACTGTTCTGAAGTCGCGTTAACTATCAATTTGGCGGACTTTCGCTTATGATCTTTTCAAGCTTGAGGATCTTTATGGTATGATAAATATCTTATCAAAGTTATCTGGGTGCTTTGGGACCCATGGACGTTTTGCTGATCGCTTTCAGGCTTTGGCCTGACGTTTGGTATGTGATTCGCACTTTATGTTCTTTGATGAGCTGAGTCGATGGAATTGTTGGACAATTCTTTGGAATTGTTAATGAATGGGGCCTAAGAGGCCTAGTCGGGTAACTTGGTACCCATTTTTACGCTTTGCGTGCAATCATGAAGCGTTTGATTGATTTTGCTTTTGCGATAATGGTGATGGCAAGATTCGATTTCGGGAACGGCCCTCACCAAGTCATTTTGTCGGGAACTTGATGGAAAAACGGACTCTTAGCCTTACCAAATCATTTTCAAGATTTAGTGTTGACGATGGCTTCAGTCCACCGAATTAAAAAACTCGGTAATAGAAAGGGCCTACCGAACTTAAAAATCTGGCGAAGAATGGATTATCAGCTTTACCAAGCTGAAGAACTTGGTGAAATAAGGGTGACAATCTTACCGAAAGGTGTTAGTCCTACCAAGCTGAAGAGCTTGGTGATGGTAAAGACGTTACCCTACCGAGCTGAAGTACTCGACACAAAGTTTTTTATTTATTTATATTTTATTTTGATTTTATTTTTACTTTTATTATTTTTTTTTTCGAATGCGGCGTGGTAGCCGACTTGCTGGCTCGAGTGGCCGTTTTTGCGGAATGCTGTATGGTAATCGATTTCCGGCACAAGGGCCGGTTTTTGCCCAACGTCGGTTTATTATGCCGACTAGTGGCAGTTTTTGCAGAACGTCGGTTTTTTATACCGACTGGTGGCGCGAAGGATGGTTTTTGCAGAACGTCGGTTTTTACACCGACTAGTGGCACGAAGGCTGGTTTTGGCAAAACGTCAGTTTTTACACCGACTAGTGGCACGAAGGCCAGTTTTAGCAGAATGTCGGTTTTTACACCGACTAGTGGCACGAAGGCCGGTATTAGCAGAACGTCGGTTTTTACACAGACTAGTGGCACGAAGGCCGATTTTTGCAGAACATCGGTATTCACACCGACTAGTGGCACGAAGGCCGATTTTTGCAGAACGTCGGTTTTTTAAACCGACTTGTGGCACGAAGGCCGATTTTTTCAGAACGTCGGTATTCACACCGACTAGTGGCACGAAGGCCGGTTTTTGCAGAACGTCGGTTTTTTAGACCGACTTGTGGCACTTTAGGCCATTTTTTCAGAACGCGGTATGGTAGCCGTCTTTTTGGCACTTTGGGTCATTTTTCAGAACGTCGGCTCAGCCGGAGTCGAAGCTCCGGGGCGAGGAAATATAGATGTCGCTCAGCCGAAGTCGAAGCTCTACGGCGAGAAAATATAGACGTCGCTCAGCCAGAGTCAAAGCTCTACGGCGAAGAAATATAGACGTCGTTCAGCCGGAGTCGAAGCTCTACGGCGAGGAAATATAGACGTCGCTCAGCCGGAGTCGAAGCTTTACGGCGAGAAAATATAGACGTCGCTCAGCCGGAGTCGAGGCTCGACGGCGAGAAAATGTGGACGTCGTACCCCAGCGTCAGCAAATGAACTCAACTCTGTTAGTGGACGATGATGTCGGGCCCCAGTGACTAGTGTCGGGAACGAGTACGTCGATTTGGTGTGGTTCCGTCCGATTTGATTTAGCGAGATGGTTAATGGTTTGATGTTGACCGCATCGGCTTGATATTGGCCTCGGGTCGAGGTTGGAGACAAACCCGCCGGTTTGCTGCCGCTCGGTCCGACCAGCCCCGGCATTGATAAGTGAACGTAGGCCCCATCATAGATAAATGAGGTTGGAACTTGCTTCTCTGATTGCAAAGTTGGGTCCCGACAAAGTAGGTGAGGTCAGGGGTGACTGAATAATAAATTAACAACTGAAGGGTCGGGCTTAGTGACGCCAGTTTGAACTCGGGTGAGCCTCTCTAATCGATCTAAGTCGGTTGCCAGTTCAAGACCGACATACACTTCCACCTTCTTTTCCTTTTGTTTTGCGTTGTTGGGCTAATTTAGAATGAGGCCCAATAGCTTCAACCGATAAATTAAATATGTTGTGGAATTCAATGGAAATATTTCTCCAGCTCCTCATTTACTTATACAGAATCGCGGCTAACCCTCCTCATCCTTTTAAAATTGAAATTGAAAGGTGAAGGGGTTTACCTTAATCTGAGCTTGATACTCGATTTTGGGCGATTCAAAGTTGTCAGCGAAAGGATCAGGCCATATCGGTGAGTTAGGAAGTCGGTGATGTTGACCGACATTGAAGTCGGGGTTTGTCGGCCCCTTTTTCGAAAGTCGGTCCGGCCTATTTGTTGAGCTCGGTGGTTGCCGAAGAAGATAAGGTCGGGCAAAGGCGCAGAAGTCAGCCGTGATTTCTGGATCCGAGCTTGTGTCGGCGGTTGATGGAGGTCGGTTGGTTCCGACAATTGAGGTCGACAACAGCTGTTGCCTTTGTGAAATCCGAGTTTAGTTCGGAAAAGTCGGCCCGATTTACAGTGTGAGGACCCAAGCCCAACGAAGAAGAAGTTGTTGTCGTTATCGGCAACAGTGGGATCGAGCCTCGTTGACTTAGGTCGATAATGCTGAAGTCGGCCCCTGATCTGAGGTCGGTTAGGTACAAAGAGGCCGGTCTCGGCCGGTTTGTGCTGTTCGGTCGGCTTGCTTGGAGGTCGGCAGGATTGCGGAGAATTCGACCTCGGCGACTGAAATCGGGTTTTGAGGTGTTTCGGGGCATTTCGAGGTCGGGTCTTGACGAACCTGAGTTGCAATTTTTGCCGTCCGACAATGGCGAGGTCGGTTTTTCCGAGGTTGGCCCCGTCGGTTAGTGGTGATGTCGGCCGACGATGATGGTATCGGGCCCGGCAGCTCGGTTTGGAGGTTGACGGGGGTCAATCCTGATGCCGAGATCCGAATTGGGCCCTGCCGCTGAAATTGGATAGACCGAAGTCGGTCAGGAGAAGTCGATGTTGGCCCTGGCATGTTGAAGTCAGGCTCCATGTTAACGTCGGATAGACCGACTTTGATGTCGGGCTCAGTGTGGGGCCAAGCTCGAGTCCCGTCACAAGTTACAGAGGTCGGACAGACTGAGCTCGGTCGGACCCGACGAGGTCGGGATAAGGGTACATCGAGGTCGGACGTCGGTCCATGTTGAAGTTGGTTCTGGCATTTTGTGTTGACGTCGGTGATGACGACGTCGACCGATTTTGAAGTCGGAAATGAATATGTCGGCCGTAGCCAAGTCGGGCCCCCGGCGAGCGTGTCCGTGCCTTTGAATGCCGAAGAGGTTAGTGATGATGAAGTCGGATTTCGGTCATGGGCTGTTGCGAGGTCGGCTTTCGACGTAGTATAGTCGGGCTTCAACAACCCTCGTCTGTGTTTCAAGGTCTTCCCTTCTTTTTCTTCTCTTTTTTTTTTTTTTTACAAATAAATGATAAAAAGAGGATGAAGTGGTTCAAGTGTGACCAAAAGAAAGTGATATGTTTGTGTTTTTATCTTTCGGCTGTTCGTATACAAATTTGAAGAGATACAGAACAACATGGCTTGGAGGAATAAGGACGAAACGAAAGGCGGTGGAATAATTATAGAAAAATGGTGAATATGATGAACACATACAACTTGTGTGTTTGTTTTTTCTTTTTCAATGAAGGAAGACCAAGAAGAAACGGTGGTATAAGATCTATATTCAGATCTGGAATATGGGCTTATCGTCATAATTTTTGTTGTCATAAGAGGAAAAAGGCAAAAAAGGCGGTGATAGGTAACATGAACAGATTTTTGACAAACTGAACAACTCACAGATAAACATAAACAGATAAAATACATGAATAGAATTTGGACAAACTGAACCCTAGAAACAGAAAAATTAAAGTAGCAGCTTGTCATACTTGAGGAAGATGATTTCTTGGTAGAGATATAGCAGTTCATCGGCAAAGATTAATTCCGAATCAATTACGGAGCCCCCCTTCTAGCGCCAAAATGTTGATAAACGGAATTGTATCAACAAAAAAGTACACCCCTATTCCGTGAATAATCGGTGTAGGATCGATTATATATATTGAAGATGGAAAAATCAAGAATGTTTTGTCTTAGTTTTGTAGAGAGGAGATGAATGAATAGAATTTCCTCTCTTTCATAGCCCCATATCTATATACTGTATACATGTCTTTTCTTTTTACAAGTGGGGCAATTAAGAAACATATAAAAGGAGTACACTAGTATTTAATGTGATATGATGTCGTGGGGCCCGATCGTGACACTTGACGGCTTAGATTGACATCTACTTTATCGGCAATTATTGTGTCTGTCGGAAACGAAACTTCTCGATATTCGGGTCAGCTTATAATATTAATTCTGCTCGGCTCGAATGTGGATCATCTGAGCACTTGGAAACTCGGTCGATATTAAATATTCAGCTCTGAGAACCTGCTATATTTATATTTATTTAATACATATCCACGTGTAGCATTTTTATTAGTCGACGCTAAATTGGGTATCAACAGATAATTATATAAATTTTGTAAATTATATGTAGTATACATTTTGTTTATAATATATATGTATATATATATTGTTATATTTTTAATATTTTTATGACATAAAAAGTAAAAACATCCTAAATTAAATATTTTCCTTAAAAACATGGAAAAACATAAAAAATATTTTTGTAATTGTAATATTTTTTAATTATAATATTTTTCTGAAAACGAATTTCAAATCGAATCGAATATGTTCGAATATTCTAAACGAATTGAATACGAAGTGTTGGTGTCGGCTTAGGCCGCACGCACGTGCACCCGCCTGTTGGTTCTGCTAGGCTCGGGCATGGGTCCCTTTGCATTGGACTTGGATCTTGGTCCTTATTACTTGCCAATTGGACTGTGGTCTGGACTTCAACAACCTTGCATGGTCTGGGCTGATGTTGGGCTTGGACCTGGGGCTCAACTTTGCAAAATTGTGGCCCAAAAGTGAAATCTAAACTAAATTGGGTTTGGACCTAGGTTCTTGACCTAACCCGTGTAGACCTCTTCAGATATGATGTATATGGACATGATGACTCCACTTGACCGTTTAAGAAGTTATTTTATGCAGTAGTGTTGTTGTAACACCTGAAAATGGTCTAACCATCTTGATGCCGTTTACAATAGAAGTCAATTGGTTGTTACCATCTTTAAGTGGCAACTGACTCATGATTTCCCATGGCTGAGTTGAAACTCTATAAATAAGAGTTCTTAGAACTTCTCCAACCGTGCAGCAAAAACACAAAAATTGCAAAATCTGCTCCAACCCACCTGCAAACACAAAGTCCGTTTTTCGGCCCTTTCTCTCTCCAACAAACGCGCAAATATACGTTTGTACTATAGAAAAACGTATAAATTCTCTTATATCCCATTTTGACACATTTATATTTTATGATGGTGCAAATATATCTTTGACCATTTATTTTGTATTTTATGTTTAATTATCATAATTTTTTCCATTTATTAGGTTTATTTTTCACATAAGTAATATTTTTTATCTTCTTTTGACAGGTTTTTATCTTACTTGTCACAATAAAATAAATTAAAACTATGAAGCATAACAAATAAAATAATATATTCAGATACGATGTGTACATTATGTAATAGTTTTAATCAAAAAATTATGAAAGTATTTGTAAAATATTTCTAGGATATTCCTAAAAATGTTGAATTAATTTGTGAAGGGTTTAAGAAAATATTGATAAAAATGTTGAATTAATTTGTGAAGGGTTTAAGAAAATATTGATAATAAATTCAAATAATATAATATTTTCAAAATATTATAATTTAAAATAAAGTATAATGTAATTTTTTATTTACCGAAATAATATGTATTCAATATTTTTATTAATACATATTATTAATTTATTATGCTTTATATCGAATATAAAATAATTAGGGGTCTAATTTATAAAATTGTTAAAATACGTAGGTAGTTGAAAAGTTGTAAAGTTGATGTGAAAGAGAATATTTCAGGAATATTCTTTTGGATTTGAGAATAAGTTTTTCGGTTGGAGATAAATTACTGTTTGATGTGACAGTTACTGCAAAATGAGTTTGAGAATGAGTTTTTTTGGTTGGTCTTAGGTAACAACAAACACATAGAATATACATTTGCATCTTTAATCTCTATTGATAGCTCACGCATCATACATAGTGCTCAGTTGTTACTCTGTCCAAGTTCGCCTGAGTTTCAAAAGTTAAGTGTTACAGTTTCTGAGACGTAGTCCTTGTATCTTTAGGGAGGAGATGCCTAAATTATGAGCACATTATGTGGGTATTTATCTTGCGGAAAGAACACACTCCCATCGATTTAATGTATATTTCTTGTATTTTCCTTGATTAATTTTGTTCATATTGTAAGAATGAAAAAATATCAGTTCACTTTGTCGGTTTTAAATTTCAACTCGACGCTTTTGCTTGAACGTGTTTTTAATATGGTGTAAAACAGTGGATATTGCATGATTGGAATGACGAAGAATGCATTAAGCTATTAAAGAGATGCAAAGATGCCATAATCCCGAGCAAAAACCATGGCAGCAAGTTGATTATTATAGAAATGATTGTGGGTGAGGAGAAAGAAGAGCATGAAGAGACTGAGACTAAGCTCTTTTTTGATGTGATGTTGATGGTCCTTGTAACCGGCAAAGAGAGAACTGAGAAAGAGTGGGCCGAGCTCTTCTATGCCGCCGGTTTCTCAACCTATAAGATTACCGGATTAATAGGACTAAGATCTATAATTGAGGTGTTCCCATGATTTGCAGCTGGTTTTAATTTGGATTATTTGGTTGGCAAAGTTTCTTCTTTATTTTATCTATTTCACTTGTCTCATTTAGTCTTTACCCAAAACACAATTTGTTTTTGTGTGTTTGTTTCACTTTATTTCCGTGCGTATTCTGTATAACATGCCTGAAGACACCATCTTCAGTTAATTGATTTGAAATTATAAATCGTTTCATTAAATATTTATAGACGTTAACTTTGTACGAGTAATTGTCCTATATACTACTGAAAAATAACTCTATTTATGTATGGAGGTTATTTTTATGTTTATTTTATATAAATTTCAATTAATGTTCGTGAGTGCTTCTTATATTACAAACTGGAAGCTCTTGTGCTACGCACAACTAGACCTCGGTATTATTTGAGATTCATAATTTTTATTTTATGTGTAGATTTTAGTTATATATGTAGTTTGTGTGGTTTGTGAATATTAAGAAGATGGCTTAAGGAGAGTGAAAAAACGAAATCAAAATCAAAGTAGAGGCACTTAATAGTTACGTTCTCCTTAGGACGAAATTACTTCATAAAATACTCACGGTTAATGACAAACGCCTTCAAGATACAACGACTTTTGACTTGTATATAATGATATTTCATATATACAAGCTTTTGATGAACAATACTATTTTTTGGAATTCTCAAGACTCAACGAAAAAATTAAACATAATATGCTTTATGAACTTTCAAAATGCAATGCAAGAGCTCTTAATGAATGAATTCATGTATGTGGGAATTTGTATATGTAGGAAAATACCTCCAAGAGGTTCAAATATCAAAATACATTTTTGGGATGTACCCGAACGAGAACAAATACATCTTGAGACCAAAAGACACCTTATGGTCACCACGGATCGCGACCCTCCGCTGGTCAAAGCCAGCTGCACGTCCATGCACTGCGAGCTCGTACGAGCTCATTCGAACTCAAAATGGAGTTTCGTTTTTTCTTAATCGTCCCGAACGAACCCTTCTAGAGCTATAGCATGCAAGCTGCATGATAAGGTCTCATTTGGATTATCCTCGCATTTGTTAAAGGCGGAATATTTTGCAAATCCAATAATTTGAGTTACTTAAACTCAATTGTTTCAACCTTAAGTTTTATGCACATACAACTTAGACTTAATTTATCATTCGCCTTAAATGTTTTTGAGAATTTCTTAAGTCTTCCACTTACAAAAAAATACAATCATAAAATCTATGCAAAACCAATTCTTTTTACAATCTCCCACATGAATGAAATTAATGCATCTATGCAATACTTGAGAGTTCTGACGAACTCTCATTGCATTAGGATCGATAGTTTGTGGAATTGAATCTTACTTAGTGATATACTATCAGATATACTAGTTGATTAGTAGCACGATGCTTTGAACCTACGGTTTTTTGTGTACACCAAAACAATAGTACTCACACAACAGCAGCTCTAACAATTTCTTGTTCTCATGTTGTGTTCATTTCGGCTCTGGACCATATCTCGGTTTTAGTAAGTGTTCGATTGAATTAGAACTGGCCTAAAATATTGGCACGGGCCTATTCACCGAACCGATGTCGCAAGATCGGTCCAACCCATTTCTCGGCCAGTTTGGCTGGTTTCGGTTTCAATTTTTGGACGGCCGATTTTTTTTTTTTAAAAATGATTTAGGGGAGGCCTTGAAGAATATTTTGGGTTACAAAATAATATTTTAACTTATAGTATATTAAATAAGTTGCATACATATCCCGTAACTCAGGAATTAAAGTCCTTCGGTAGTTCTCTTTCTAAATTTACCTTGATAAAAGTACATGGGAGGAGTGAACTGAATGTCTAGTAATCCCAATCTTAGGTGTCGTTGGCCTCTTCATTTCCGGCGGTTCCACTAGTACTGGCAGTAAAATCGGATGTCTCATCATCTTCGACAGTTAGCATGACGTTTTGTGCCTATATTTTGGCCTTCTTCCAATCACTCAGCAACATTTGAGCCTCAAGATTTTCTGACGTCAACTTCGACCGTCGTGCGCCCAGTGTAAATCCTCCCTCGTTGAATGCTTGTTCAACCGTCACTGTTGTGGTCGAGATAGCGAGAATTTCCTTGGCCATCAAACATGTTATTGATTGCATGAACACGACCATGCATGAGGGCACTCCCATAACGGAACATGTTCTCGCGATGATGGCACAAGTCAATGAGCTAGAGATTCTTGGAGCTTTTATTGATGGGGAAACCTAGGTCGATATAGTGCTCCAGTCTTTGCCAAAAAGTTTTGAACAATGTCGATTGAATTACAACATGAATAAAATGTTGCTGACTTTTCCGGAACTTCTTACAAAACTTTAGTCGACAGAGGGCCTGTTTCGTCAGAATACTCAAGCGTTGGTTGCCCAGTGGGCTCATGCATCTTCTTCTAAGCCTAACAAGGGTAAAAAGAGGAAGAAGGCCGTAGGAAAGAGCAAAACGGCTTTGGTTAGTCCAAAACCTCAGAATGTGGTGAAGAAGCCGAAAGACAAGTGCCATAAATGCAAACAGACATGACACTGGGAGGTTGACTGCCCTCTCCTCAAGAACGGTGATAAACGTAATCATTTTCACTAGTCGCTGAAACATGTTTAGCGGTGTTATCTACCAGAACCTGGTGCGTAGATACATGAGCCACTGATCATGTCTACAATACTTTGCAGGGGTTCTAAAAAACCAAGCAGCTTAGAGAAGGAGAGGTTACCATCTACTTGGGCGACGACAGTAAAACGTCAGTTGTTGCAGTGGGGGAGGTCTATTTAGAGTTTGGTTTAGATAGGGTTTTAACTTTGAAGGATTATCTTTATGTTCATAGTTTTAGATAGAACGCCGCCGCTCTCAGACAATACGCAGTGACACGACCTCCCAGCGCCACCGCACGCCGCCAAGACTCAGCCGCGAGCTCCCAGCGATTCCCTGCCTGCCCGCATGCTGTCGTTCGACATTCTCGCGCCTTGCCGCGCACGTCCATCTGCCCGAAGACCTCGCGCTCCTAGTCTTCACAGGCATAGAAAACACGCTGCACGCGCCTGACGTCCTCAACCCCTGCAGCGCATGATAGCGCGCAACTCCCAGCGTGCGAGTTAGCCAGCACCTGCACGCACACGACGATGTTCGTCCGCTCCCAGACGTGCACATTAATCGAGCCCTGCTAGTGCTCGACGCGCATCACTGTCTTCGAATAATCTTGGTGGTGCGATTAATCGAAACTCCTGAACTCTCAATATGTATGTAATGCTCGATTTTTCTCTCTTTTCAAGACCTTAAAATCAGCTCACACAAGTATGGGGAAGAGGTCGCCCGACGCGCATCACTGTCTTCGAATAATCTTGGTGATGCAATTAATTGAAACTCCCGAACTCTCAATATATATGTAATGCTCGATTTTCCTCTCTTTTCAAGACCTTAAAATCGGCTCACACAAGTATGGGGAAGAGGTCGCCCGACGCGCATTACTGTCTTAGAATAGTCTTGGTGGTGCGATTAATCAAAAATCCCGAACTCTCAATATATATGTAATGCTCGATTTTCCTCTCTTTTCAAGACCTTAAAATCGGCTCACATAAGTATGGGGAAGAGGTTTGGGACAGAGCCTATTTATAGGGTACATTAGGGACCTTAAGAAGGTGCTAAATATGATCTTATTCAACTAGGGTTAGGAATCCTATTTACTCTCCAATTACCTTCTCTTCTAGATGACCTAGTTTTTCCTAACCCTAATTACTTCTTCTAGAAGACTTATTAGTCTCCTAACCATAGGTAATATTCCAGAAGGGATATTCTTAGAGAATAAATAATTCATATCTCCTAATTAAATTAAATAATAAAACATTCTACTAGAGTAATATTATTACTCTCCCCATTTAGCAGTAAATTTGAACCACCACTTAATTTATAAATATTAATTTAATTAGATTGATTTATCCGTCCTTTATGATTAAGAAATAACATCCATTAATTAAATTACTGACAAAGTAATTAATCAACTTTTTTTTATACCGAAACTAGTACCACTCAATTCTTTAATCATTATGTCGGAAATTCATTCGCCTGCAGGACTTGACATAATATTCCTTCCTGAGCTCATTTTGGGGACGACATAACCCACCACACTGGGACATAGACTCATAGTGAGTGTAACTAATTATAACAACACATCATATAAACATCATCATTTACCAAAATACCGAGTATGTCATCCTAATAAATAGGAATCGCTCTTGGTAAATCAAATAAACAATTAATGAATATATATGCCTGTTTATTACATGACGATTGAAGAGTACACATCAATTACTGAAGGTCTAGAGTATTTCAACGATAAGTAAATCAAATAATCTTATCCTTCCGCGGTACGTTCAATACTTATCATAAGTACTAGTGTAAATCATCAGTCAAAGATCAACTGATTCAAAATTACGCTACAGCCTTTTTCCAACAGAGGTTTCAATATGCACATTCGAACTTAATGAATTAAATCCAAACGCATCGGAATCTATAGTTAGGATTAGGACATTACCGTTTAAATTTTTTGCCAACTCTGAGACGTTTCTGATTTCCTATGTATGAGATCGTATGAATCGTAGAGTACGTTTGGCAGTCGGACTTGGCCTCCTAGGTAGAACTCGGGTTGTCGGGGAACTAGGTGCACGTCGGGTGCGGTCCCGGTGCGAGTTGGGTGTTGTGGGTCGAGGTCGCGGGGCTGCACGTCGGGAGCTGATCGCTGGCCTCGTGCGGGTCTGCAGGGTCGGGTGCGTGCGGGCTCTCAAACAGAGACGCGCGTCGGGCGCTGGCGGGCTCGACTGTGGCGTCTAGCGTGGCGTCGTTTCGCCTGCGGTGCACGTGAGCTATCCTGCACGTCGGGCGCGGGCAGCTAGCGTGAGCTGTGGGATTCATTACGTTTATCGATGATTACTCAAGATATATGTATATTTTCTTATTGTGTCGCAAGTCTGGATGCTTCGAGAAGTTCTTGAAGTATAAGGCAGTTGTGGAGATGCAGTTAGGAAAAAGTATCAAGTCACTGCAATCAGATCGTGGTGGCGAATACCTCTCAGGCGAATTTATGAACTATGTGATGGATAATAGGATTACATCCCAGCTGACTGCGCCTGGAACGCCCCAACAGAATAGTATAGGAGAGGTCTTCGAACATCGATTTTGACGAGATTGTCCAATCATATGGATTTACCAAATGTCTGAATGAGCACTGTGTGTACAAGAAAAGTGAGGGAAACGTGGTGGTGTTTCTTATGCTATATGTAGATGATATTCTTCTCATTGGAAATAGTGTGAAGAAGTTATCAGACGTAAAGGTATGGTTATCCAAGCAGTTTTATACGAAGGATTTGGGAGAAGTAGGACACGTTCTCGGGATCAAAGTCATTCGAGACCGAGATAAGAGAATATTGTGCTTATCCCCATCCACATACATAGACACTGTCTTGGCGCGTTTCAACATGCAACATTCGAAGAAAGGACAATTGCCCTATCAACATAGAATCCCTCTATCTAAGAAGATGTCTCCAAAGATGCCTCAAGCGATAAAAGACATGAAGGCAGTTTCTTATGCATCGCTGTGAGGTAGTGATTGAGCTCACTGTATCCAGTCTCCTTTGCCCTTTGGACCTTAGCATTTTTGTAGGGATTCAATTAAAAAAGGTTGTAATATATATTATTTTAAGTTAAGAAACTAATTTTAATTACATATATTACTTTATTGTTCTTATTATTTATAATAATATGTATTATAAATATTATAACTTTTGGCATATATGGCTCGTTACCAAATGATAGGAGTGATTTGTTATTAATGTTGAAATTTGTAGTATTATTGCAATTATAACAATAAATTCTTTGCAATTGATTTCTAAATTTATTTTGTACTTATATTTTGCAGTGTTCTCACGCATAATTCGGTCTACATATAGTTGGATGAACAAAGCAGAAGAACGCATGATTTGTTGTTAAGGATAAAGATTGTTTTGTTATTAACGAAAATAGTTAAGCTTCTTTTGATATTGTGGAAAATTGTGTTTACAACTTTTAAAAAACTGAATTGATTGACTTTTTGATAAATCAAAGGATTCTAAACTAATCCTCTTGATTAAATAATTTTTTTAAGGTACGATAAAAAATATTTTGATATATGGTTGGTTGCCAAATGAATAAGAAATCATTGTGATTTGTTAGTAATGTTGATAAATAATATTCTATTGTAACACATTGATAAATGTCATAATAAATTTTCTATAATTGATTTTTTATTTTTAGTTTGTAATTATATTTGCAATTTTATCATTTATATTCAAATAATATTTTCTAAAGCTATTAAATAGATGATTTTTTAGGACATGTTGTATGGCTGGTTACCAAAAGAATAAGAAATTCCCGTGATTCGTAATTAATACGAAGAATCTGATTTTTATTGTGATAGTTATCACAAAATAATTTTGAAAATTGATATCATTGCACGATTTACAACATGTAGGTATAATTTGATATTAATTTTTTTTATTTATAAATATTAAAGTAATTTTTACTATATTTCTTTTAGTAGTAAGTCAACCAATTTAATTACAAAGTCAAAATTACTATTTTAGATTATTTCATTAACCTCTTTCAATATATATAGCTAATAATCAAAATAAACATTTTTGTGCTTTGTGATCAAAATTTCAACATAATAAACTAAGTTTAGTGACTATATAAGTTAGAGGAACATTTATGAAAGTATTGTTTTTTAAGATAAAATTAATTAATTAGTGATATAAAAAATAATTATAAAATATTACATAATCCCTCCCATTATTGCAGTTATCTTCACAAGGTAGATTGCACGATGAGATAGATTTCGAGTTCTTGGGGAATTTAAGTGGCGAGCCTTATGTTGTGCATACTAATGTGTACACCCAAGGACAGGGTAATAGAGAACAACAATTCTATCTATGGTTTGATCCGACTGAAGATTTTCACACGTACTCCATTGTCTGGAATCTCAAGAGGATCATGTAAGACCTTTTCTACAACTCTATTGTTTGGATCTGTCGCATTATTTTGGTTTGAACAAACCAAAATGACCATAATTAAATATAAATATAAAATTATTCAAATTAGCATTGATTTAGTAATTGACTAAAATGAGACTTAATAATTATACGACACAATGTGGTTATCTTCATAGTAAAACGATAAACAAAAATTTTGACATAATAATCGTGTTGATGGATGAATCAGATCAACGGTTAATTTAAGATAAAATGAGAGGGAAAAGATAAAACAGATAAGATATATTACGAAAAGGAAATTTATTAAATAATTACGAGGTCGGCTGAAATTATTCATACAATAAAATTTAAAAGGTATATAAAATAAAATATATTCAATATAAAATAATACTATAAAATAGTAATTTGTATATTTATTCCACATGGTTTTAAAAAATTAATGATAAATTTTTTGAGACATTAAAATGATATACCAACAGGTTAGTTGTCAAACTTCCTAGAGAGAATCAAAATAATTATAGTGTCTATTGTTATAAATTATGATAAACCAACAAGTCATTTGTGAAATTGATATATAAATTATAAGCTTCAAAAAGAAAATTGAGATATTTATATAATCCATATATGAATCATAATGATAAACCAATGATTCATTTGTCAAACAATCAATTTAAAAAAAAAAATATATTTGTAATATATATGTTTATAAATTATAATAATAAATCAACTGGCTTCAAACGTCCATGTGTATTATAACATTAGAAAGAAAAATTAAAAATATTATAATATACATTATAAAAAAAATAAAATAATTTTGTCATATACGTAATTAAAAGTTATTAAATTTTGTAACTTTAAAATAATATACACTGCATTCTTTTTAAATTAAGTGTCAGGTTGTAATATTTACCACTATTTTTCAACTTTTTCATTATTTATTTAGGAATTGAAATAATATATTGTTATAAAGTATGAGTAAGGGAATAGAGAGAAAAAATTATTTTTATGAGTATTATTTATTGATAAAAGATATGTTGAATTTCATGTTCCTTAATTGTAAACCAGAACTCTAAAATAACAAATATTTTATAATGAATGAAAAAAACAAGTAAATCTTATATTAAACTATTATATATCATAAAAATAAAAGAAAATATAAATTGTAATTAAATCAATATATATTCTAGTGCTTATATATAATTAGCAGTCGTTATATAAATATCTTTCAGTTGATTGTAAATAGTGAAATCGAGAGGGGCAAAGCTTTTTGAATTCGTTATCATGTCCAAATTTCAGTTTGTAGAGTTGGAAAAATTGATTTTGTGGAAATTGATATTGTTAGATTTTATGCCCATTATATTCTTGGAGACAACCATTTTGCCATCAAGAATTATCCAGGAAAAAAAAATATGGCCACAATACAAAAAACTATACAAACACAACATACAGAACTCCAACCTAGACAGACGTGTAATTTTCAACCAAGATAGCCATACTTCTGAGCACAACTTAAGAATATGATTAATCCTTCCTTTTTTTTTCCCAGTTTCTCAATAGATGGAAGTCCTATTAGAGAATTCAACAACTCGGAATCACCCACTATTCCATTCCCAGAAAACCAGCCGATGAGAATCTACTCGAGCCTTTGGAACGCCGATGATTGGGCCACCAGAGGTGGGCTCGTCAAGACAGATTGGAGCCAGGCTCCATTTACAGCTTTCTACTCAAACTTTAGTGCAGATGATGCCTGTGTTTGGTCTTCCTCTACTTTGTCTTCCACTTGCTGTCCTAATTCGAGTTTATGGCTAAATCAAGAACTGGATATGGTGAGCCAGGAGAGATTGGGTTACCCTTCCGAGAGTGAGACTGACTTACATTAAACCCGACTAGTATTATAAAGCTCTTATTTTCTAGTTTGCTGGCGCGCAAATAATGCAAAAGGGCTTTTTTACGTTTTTCGTATTCGACTGGTGTGCAGTTCTTCGGATCCATTGTTTCTTTTGTTTTTTTTAGCTCCCTCACTTATTCATTATCTTGGAAGCTACAAATAGCTAGGCTGCTAGCTTTATTCATATGTTAACACCAAGGTAAATGCATATTTCAAGAGGGTAGAAAGTAAATCTTACATTTGACTAAACCCCAACCAAAATATATAAATCTTGTGCAATTTGGCTGAACCCGAGGCCAATTTCATTAATCATCTCTGAAAAGAAAGCAACAGACAGTGTGACTAAGAGAAAACTTTGAAATTTCTATTATTAACTGAAAACAGGGCAAAAGTAGTCAAGTAGTCCAACATCAAATTTCTCAACTTCTCACAACCTAACCAAATAGAAAGAAACAAGAAGAAGCTACGCAAGATAAATGTAGAAACACGACTTTAACACGGATTACAACTTCAAGTTGCAACCAACCGAATTGAGAACACGAGAGTTACGAGGGCACACTCGTTTATCTATGTTTGACATCATATCACAAATCCTAATAACAAGTTCAACATACGTACACTCAAACACAAATAAACCAAACAAACTTAGTATTCGAAATATCCTGTACACGATATCATTCGTTTCCCAACAAAGGGAACAAGAAATTTCAGACGTCTGACTGACTACTACGAATATTACATCCCCATTCTAGCAGAGTCTAAAGACACATTACTAGACAAGCTCGATTTGTTTTACTTACTCATCCTCAAGCTCCACAATACGAGCCCTCCTCTCAGCTGCCTTCTTCCTAATAAATATGCCCCACCTCATAGCAGCCTTGATTTTCAGCCAGCCAGCAACAGCCCGGCCCGAACGAGCCCGGTCCTCCCCATAATTGAATCCAGGCATAGGAGAGGGCACATAAGAAGGAAATCCAAACCCACCATCTTCGGGCCCACCATTGATGGACGTGTGGGCCCCACTCCCACCACCCATGCTGAAAAGCCGAAGCAAATGCTGCATGTCGTCATTCTCCAGCATCTCGTGGCTCCTCATGCGGATCTCTTCCTCGGATAAAAACTCGTCATTGCTGATGATCCCCTTGTTGCGGCTGGCGGTCCAATCATCAAACGGTGTTGCTAGTTTGTCGTATGTGGGGTTGGGGTGGGTGAAAGAGTCGAGTTCGAAGTTGGTGCGTAAACTGGGGTTTATGAGGTGGGTCGTCTGGGCGGGATATCCGGGATTCATGTTGTCGTGGTAACTAGAACCTGGAATCAATGGACTGAGTTGATATATACGTTGCACATTTGCTAATAGTAATAACATTATTATTCATAACAAAAAACTATAATGTATTCAATTTTGGCATATTAAAATGTCTAACTAGCCATGTGTCAGTATCATGCGATCCGACATACTGATCGAAATAATAATATGAATAATAACAACAATATTCCCTCCGTATATATAAATACACAGTTTTCGCGTGCTTAAGTGTCAACTTCTGGGACATCGTAATCCTACGAGCCATTTTCAGGATTATCCCTTAGACATGACTTTTGAAATTGTAAAACAATTGACTAACATAAATTATAAATAAATATTAAAATTTATTAACTTCTAAACTTATTAAGAATGTTTCATATATCATATATAAAATTAATCATTCTTTAACAATCTCCGGTCATTCATATTGCATATATATTTATTAATATAAAATAAATATATATTTTATATATATATATATATATTATATTTGCCTATATAAATAAAACAAAAAAATCATAAATCAATCCTAATTCAAAAATAATAAATTTATCTATCAATATCCTATGGTATATTAGGATTGAATCTTGCAGGTGACACTGACACATGTTATTTGAAATAGGAGTAAACAATATATTTTTGAAGATTATTTGTAATGTTTAAATAAATATTTTATTTCTATTTTTTAAGAACTTGTTAAGCATAAAATTCTTAATTAGCATCCATAAATTAAACGGATGTTGTAATGCTACTAGTAATAACAATAAAGAAAAACAAAGAGGAAAGACAGAAAGGGGAGATGAGAGAAATAGTGGGGAGAGTTCTAGACGTACTATCCATTGTGTTTTTCATATGATTCATTCAATAAAACTTGATAAATTCTACAGAATTTATACAATTATCTTGTACATGTGGCGCTCACGGTAAGTGTAAGATGGAATATAGAAAGTGCTAGGAGGGAAGCAAATAAATAATAAAAAGGAAAAGAAAAATCAAAAAGAAAAAAGAAAATGGAAGAAGAAAAGGCAGATCAACAGTAGTAAAGCTACAAGGTTAACAAGGGACACATAACAGCTAAAGTCCACTAAATAAGAACTTAGAGAGCCACAAAGGGAAGGTTGAAAATAAGAAAAATTTGAAGAAAATGATAAGGTTCAGAAAACAGATCAATCGCATGCTGGCACAAATGCGATGACAAGATTGAAAGCCGAATGAAAGTAAAAGTCCTTTAGCTGTCATTACTATTTCAGGTCATATATAAAATGACCAACGATGAAATAAGTATCATCAGAAATGGGCATCGATCCTGCTCAATTGTTACAAGTCTTCTTTGAGCATGCTACTTTTGCATAATAATGGAACTTATGCGCTGTTGTAAATAAATAAGAAAATGCAATTTATAGGTTTTCCATATCCAAGGGTCCAAAAACGTAAAGTTAAGTTAAATGGAGATTTTAATTAGATAAGTGGACCGAGAAAGGACATATTTTGTTGGGAAGATTGCTCACCTCCTATTAGCATGCTCGGGTCCAGAGCTGAAGTTTCAGATGGAACTGTAGCCGGAAGTCTCTGTGGTTGAAGCTGATTGTCCAATGGCTGAGAGCAGTTAGCCGGTCCCAGGGTAAAATCACTTCTTGATGTGCTCGATTTTTTAACTTGCTTGAAATTTAACAGAGACTTCCCATCATACTCCACAACTTGATTCCAATTATCATATGCTTTCTTCACCCAGGCATCCACATAAACCTACACATATATTGGATAAGGACATATATAGTTCACCTTGGGAAAATGTAATTACAGTTTCCTATATAAAGGCCTTAATCAAAATTACAAGCACATTAAACAAGTACATAAAAATATTTTGTTTACCAAAGATTTCACTCACATTTAATATATACTCAAAATCTAACTCAACTTTAACTCAACTCCACTATCCTTATAATTTAATAATACAAACCAATCATTCTTAGTTTCTCACACGTCACATCAACTTTAATTCACTATTCATCCGCTCACATAATTTTAACTAACTATCACTTCACATAATTTCTCTCCTACTTTTACATCAAATAAACTTTAATTATTTTATTTTAAATATTATTTTAATATAAACTCAAAATCCCACTAACAACTAACCATGCCACCTTTTTCAAAATTAATCCTGGTTAAGCAAAAAAATTTATTTTGAGCGAATTAATTTATAAACAAGCATGCCTTAAAGTATCTTGTGATAAATAGGACCAACAATCCTTTGTTTTAAAATATTTATTATGTTACATAAGATTAAGAAGTTTATGAAATAAAATACTTCAAATTTATCTAGTTAAGTACAGGTAATAGAGTCCTTAGTGACAAAATAATGGAAACCGTATAAAGAAGATTGTATAAACCATAGGCATCCTTTGCATTCTATTCAGTAGGTAATAGAAATAGATCATTACAAAAAAGAATTTCTTGATAAAGATAACAATATTAGTTCCTCTAACAGTTACGGGAAGAACTAGAAGCACATCTTCACAATTAAGAGGAACTAGAAGCACATCCTCACAAAGTAGAAGTAAAGAAACAATTCAAAAGGCACACAAAACTACATAGCAGGTAGGACCAATATTGAAACACTTTTAACCAGTGCTATTAATGGCGGATGGCGGTTTGCCAAAAATCCGCCAGAGTGGCGGCCTATGGCGCCGCCATAATCGCCATCCTACACAAATTTAGCATGGCCGCCATTCGATAACACTTCTTTTAACAAACAAGTAATACAATAGTTCATTTTTAGTACAGCTAAATAACTTACATTGGAAACAAATGAATTCAGATATGGAAATCAAAAGAATTTCTCATAATTTTAGACATGCAGACCATAATAGGCACCTATTCCTTTTGTTTCTTCTCAACAGCTTGATTTATATTTCAATACTACATGAAACAAAAGTTACAAAACAAAAGGATAAAGCATGAAAATTTCAGGAGATCAATATTTTTCCATGTTAAATTATGAGAAAATTGACAGAAAGGAAAAAAATATTACTAGCATATATGTAAGCTAGAAGACCCATAACTCGGAGCAACAAAAACTAGGTAAGGCACAATTATATTAGAAGGATTATTAGCGCACCTTCTGGCTGTCAGAAAGTGAATCTGCTGGATAGTATTGATCGTTAGCTATGAGGCCACTCAGCTCATAGATATTGTTAAAAACAACACCAACATTTCTTGTATCATCAGGGTAATAGATATAAAGCTTCCCACTCAGGACACAAGTCTTGGCATGTTCGATGAGAGCATCCCACATCTTATTTGACATACCGCTTCCAAGGATCTAACAACGACACCAAATATATGAAAGTTAGATAATCCAAAAAATACATTTCAAATGCAGAAATAATTTGCAAATACTTACACTCCTCAATTTCTGAGGGTCCCTGACCACAAACCGCAGGAAGTCCTCAACAGTATATATCCCTGAATTGTTGAGCCTCTTATGGAATGATCCATCCTTCCCGATCTTCTCCAATCTCCATACTTCATCATTCAGAGCGGGTGGATAATGTTTCTTGTACACTGCCAGAAGTAAAGACACTAACTCAGGTAAATAATTCGAGATGGTACATAACTATAATGCACAAGCATCAGATATGGAGAAAAAGTGTCATTAGATGAGTCAAAAGCTTAGTGGTAAATGGCGCCAGATCAAAATCTATTTGTTTCCAACTTCTTTTAATCCATCCAGAACCAATGTTATTGAAATGGCGGGTGGCGGTAAATGGAAATCTTGCCCTATCGCCGCCATAACTGCCATCCTTCATAAATTTTGTAAGGTGGTTTGGCAGAAATCTCCACGCCATACCGCCAATCCGCCATGGCCACCATTTGATAACACTGTCCAGAACTTGACTAGTGCTTGTTTTACGAAAAGTTCAAAATAACCATGCACTGGTAAGATATTCAAAATATAAATAAATGAAAAAAGCTGCTTACATTCCCCACGGTGATCTTTGACAGTGAAAGCTTCCGTTTTCGCTTCCCGAATGCGTATTCCCTCACAATATCCTGACGCAACTTTCAAACCAAGTCTGAACTTCCTGCTCCTTATCCAGCTCGAATTATCCGTAAAGGTTAGATCACCAAGAGTGCCAACACCTTCTTTCAGGGTAATTTGCAAATCCCCAGTCAAAAGAGGCCTCTTTCCTTCGCGTTCTTTAACAATGTGGCTCTCGAATTCCTCCTGACTCCAGCCCTCATCATCCTCGTTGTTGAAATCTCCTTCCAGCACAATGACATCCAACTTCACAGAGGATTCGGAACCAGATGTTACAACATGGCCCGTGTTAGCATCTATTAGCACAACATGAATAGCGGCACCTTGTTCACCCTCTACTTTCCCTCCAGTAAAAAGTGGAAGAGAAAGCCTAGACCTAAAGTGGAGCTGCAAGTTTCTCCCGTCCGGACCTTCAATTCGTTTAGGTGATGATGACCTGAAGTCTCAAGAGTCTTAGTAATACCACAAATACAAATGCAAATAAACAACTTGATACTTATGATTGTAGGATGTGCAATTACAAAGGTAATCAGTATTATAAACATTTGGCCAACAAATAGACGCAAAAGATACCTATTGAGGGTTTCAAAAGGTATGACCATACATAATTAGCAAAAATTTAGAAGTCCTCTACTATATCATCACAATTGTCTGCCAGATAATTGGAAGAGAACCTATCTTAATGTTCTCACTATGATAGCCCCAGAGGCTCCTCTTCTCAAGAATCTTTCTACTAACATTGAATTTGCAAGTTTGCATAGTCTACTTATTAATCTTCACTTCTCTTTAATGCCCCCACAAACAAAAACTCAAAGCAATACCACACAGGGAAAAGGCATAGACCAGAGACGGCCCTTAACACTGAATCAACAACATAGCCCTAATAAAAGTTCACCATGAAAAGATGTCAGCACAACAATTTTCCGGCCAATACGGTAATATTCTTCCTAATAATCACATCAAGATTTTAAAACACTGAACAAGTTGGCAGTGAAATTGCAGATAAGCTCCTCAAGATATCAAGTCACCCGAGTGTGCAAGTAATGAAATAAAAGCTCACACCTTCCTTCAAGTCTCGCAGGGCCCAGTTTAGCCAAAGCTCGTTCAACTTCTTCACTAACCTATCACAGAAAGGGGCATTAATAAGACAAAGCTCGCGGAGAACCTCATAATGATGTCAATGACCATAGCTAAATTGACAAATATATTTTTTTGAATGCATTGATAACTTGCCACTCTGCCCACATGTCGCGTATGTTACATATTGTACAGCACATCACTTGCCTATTGAAAAGATACAGGCAAGTTTCACATACTTTTCATAAATAAGCTAAAAGAGATTGAGCATAATATAAAAAAAATTAAGAATAAAATATTCTTATAAATATTTTAAAGAGAATGGTGTTTCCTAATGTTCAGATATTATTCCAGGGTACATGCAAACAGGAACAGGGGTCCTTATTTCGGAAGTACTAAAAGAATCCAAGGAGATATTTAGGAGGTATCATCCATCGAAAAATACTAATTTAACTCGAATACCATTTGTTCACCAGATGAACAGAAACAGGCAAATTCCACACAACTGCATTGACAAGGCACTAATCATTACCACTCTCCGGAGAATTGGTTCCAAAGATGAGCAAAGCTTCTGGAGACTATCCACCTTTAGAGCTTCCACAATAACGCTGCATTGAGCATAATACTCATTATTTAACTCTTTTCAGTCAGTTTAAGTAAACAAAAATCGCAGGCACTGAGATAACAAACTGGCTTGACAATCTAACATACCACAACAAAGAAAGAGAATCACATCATATAAGTACATAGAATGTATGGAGGCATTCCTAGTCCCATTAGATTTAATTCAGTAAAGTAGGTTAGTGATCACTTCTGCACAAGTTCTCACATACTTCACCGACAAATGAAAACAATTCAGTAAAGTAGGTTAGTGATCACTTCTGCACAAGTTCTCACATACTTCACCGACAAATGAAAACAAATTTTATAACGAATGACACATAAGGCTGTTGCTCATTATTTCTGGTATACCAAGAATTAAAAAACTGTTGCATAAAGATACATAATAAAGAAAACCATGGAGCACAAAGAAATTATAAAAATAGCATCCCAGTTACCTCGCTAGAGCAGGTCTCTTTCGATCAGACTCCTGCTGCTCTTCTTCATCACCACCTTCCAAGCTCCTTTTCCCTCGACCTTTCATAGAGTTTGTTCTTTCCATGTACCTCGTCTGCATTTTAACCCCTAAACACGAACACAAAAGAAAACAAATGCATAAGCCGTCAGCTGACGACACCAAACAAAATCAACATATGCAAATATTTTAAGTCAAACAGATCTCAGTTCGCCTAAATATCACAAAACCAATCCCTAATTTCCACTCAAAATCACCCAGATCACCAAAACTATACCAAATCACAGAAACCCAACTTGCAATCGAACTTTAGTTGGAATCAAGAATTTACCTGATGTGTAGATGAATTGGAAGGCCAGACAAAGCGCCGATTGCAGCTAAACTCTGTGATCCTATTGAAAGGGTTTTCTCGTATTAGATGTGTGATTGCGTGTGTGAGCAAAGCTTTCGATGCCTACGGCGACCAAAGTGCAAGTGGAAATGAAGTTAGACGTTACAGTAAAAAGGTACTAAGATGAGTTGGTGACCTTTTTGAGTTTGGCTTTCTCGTTTCCTTTACTCTGCTTGTGCTTGTACCGAGTATAAAATATACACCACAGCTGAATACAACACCACACTGCGTTAGCATCTAGGCATTCAATGGGTTGGGGTCAATTTAGGATTTTAAAATGAAATGATTATCTCTACTTTACCTAAAAACTAGTAAACTAGTGAGTCAATAATTAGTCTGAAAACATTGTTTTAAGACAACCCCGGATAAACATTATTTGAAGATAATGATCCGGTAATCCACTTGCATCCCGGGAATTTCTATAGCATACAAATCCTTCGTTTCTTAAGATGGACAAGGTCCCTTTAGGTTGATCTCCAACAGAAAAACTCATACTCAAACTCATTTTGCAGTAATTGTTACATTTTGCAGTAATTCATCTCTAGTCGAAAAACTCATTCTCAAACCCAAAAGAATATTCTCGAAATATTCTATTTTACATCAATTTTTACAACTTTTCAATACTACCTATATATTTTAAAAATTTACAAATTAAAAATGCACACTACTATTTTAAATTCAATTTGGACTTTATGTAATAAATTAATTGTAAAGTTATAATCATATACATAATAAAATCGAAGAAATAAATATTCATTAAAAATTAAAATTTAAAAATAACAACACACAAGATAAGATCAAAAATTACACGCACAAGATGAGAAATTAAAAATTACATCACATAAACGCAATTAAAAATTACAACGCACAAGATGAAAAATTAAAAATTACAACACACAAAATAAAATTAAAAATATTTTCAACTGTGATCTATCATGTAGTAATGTTATTTCAATCTGTATTAGTAATGTTGTTGTTATTTAATATTGGTGTTTTCTTTTCTTGTTAAATAAAAATATCATAAATAATATGTGTATTTTACATTATTATTGTGAAATATATAAAAATAAATACTAAATGTAATATTTACTATTTTAAATATTATATTATCTAGTTTTATGAAATTAACTTTTTTTAATATTTTACATTATCATTATAAAAAGTAACTTACAAAAGCAAATAATATGAATACAACTAAACAATCTAAATAAATTAGTATTCAAATAACAACTTACAGAAAATGAGGACCAAACTGAAATTAAAAAAAAAATGCGTTTTGTAACAGTAAAATGCATATTTGGTGTAGAAGAGGTGAGAGGGTGAAGAAAACTCATTTTGCGTTTTCCTTATGGGTATCGGTTGGGGCAGACTAACTCCATTTTTTGAGTTTGCGTTTGATTTTGAGGGACGGTTGGAGAAGGTCTTAGGGCGTATTGCTATAAATATATCCGTTCGAAATGAGTTTTTTTATCAATTATGATTAATTTTAAAAAATATAGTCTGACTAAGGCTATGTTTGGTAGACCAATAAGCTAGTTTATAACTTATTTGGTTAGCTTATAAGTTTCATGTATTCAAATAAACCTCGTTTGGTAGGACTAGCTTTTTTAAAAGCTCGAACTTATTTGATAAGCTTCTTTAGGTAGCTTTTCAAATAAGTTAGTTGAATTTTATATTTCAGCTAGCTTATCAGCTAATTTTACCAAACACTTTCTTCAAATAAGCTAGTTTTTCAGCTATAAGTCATAAGCTATAAGCTATAAGCTAAAAAATTAGTGATAAGCTATAAGCTAGCTTATCACCTAGTTTTACCAAACATAGCCCAGGTGTTAGTAAGAGTTTGAATTTATATTATAATAATATTTAAAATAAAATAAAAAATATTGATTTGATGTAAAAGTATGAAAGAGATGATTTAAAGTGATGGTTAATTAAAATTATGTGAGTGGACGAATACTAATAATAGTTAATGTAATATGTAAGAATTATTGATTAGTATTATTTAGTTATATTGATAACATTGAGGATATTGGGTTTGAGTTAAAATTAAGTTAACTTTTAAATATGAATTGACAAATATTATCAAAAAACACCCCTTAAAATTTAAGCATCCTTAATCCCACAGGTTGTTAAAACGAGGTAGGCATTCAAAAGACTTTTCTAGTGTCTTCTATAATCTCATAGAAATTAGCTTTTAAAATATTTTCCAATGCATTATCTATAATCACATACATAGATGTTGGGATTCTTATACCTTTTTCAACGATATATTTCATAAATAGCACATATTTACAAGCAAAAAATTATATGAACCAGCTAAATAGTTGAATTCATATCAGAGGTCTACCCAAGTAGCCTAAATAACACCGAACAACACAAAACAAAACAAAAAACTAAAAAAAAAAAATCCCATTAGTGGATAATACACTACACTCTCAAACAAGAGAATACACACTCCTAAATAGGCGAATAAAACAACAACTGGCACACACGCACAAAAACAAACACAGAAGCTAAACAAAAAACACACACAATAGTCACAATAAAGCCCTCCTCAACAGTTGACCTGAAATTCCTAACTGAGGCCTAGTTCGTTTACGACGATCAGTATAAAACGAACTTCTACTCTCTGCGATCCATTCAATACACAAAGTGTACTAGTTTAACTAATCAGTCAAGATCAACTATACGGTTAACACTACAGCGTTCACGATGGGTTGTTCATTTCCATCTAGGTTGTGAATCTATTACTCTTGTTTCGCAAGTAACTGATAAAATGATCTTTTGTTCACCTGATAATGAACCATTTTATCTATGTGCAAAACAACAAAATATAGACTTCTTTAATTAAACATGATTCTCATTCAAACGGGTTCAGTGTAAATACATCTAAAGCCAAGCTTTCAGTATATACACAAACAATCTCTCACTTATACTTAAAGCTTCCGCTTTTACTAGTATACTTCTTTCAATCTCTATTCTCGAAGAACTATTGTCTTAGCTGTCATACACCCGACTCCCTAATCCCTTATCATGGCCATCAACAGCTTTCGCTCGAATGCCAATTCCAAAAGGATCTCCCTGGTAGTTGTTGGGATCTATGAGGATCTCGTTATGTATAAGTCACGAATTCAATAGCAAACGTAAGCCTATGCGCAGCGGATCTAAGGTTTGACGTAGAGAACTTACGGCTTAAAATTTTCTAAATCTGTCTGATTTGGGATGACCGGGAACATCACACGAACGGAAGTTGGATCACCGAACGCACAGCGGGTCGTGTTGCGTGGATCTGGTCGTGTGGGCTGGTGGTCGGATGCCGATCAGGTCGCGGTGGTCAACCAGTTGCTCGTCGCGGTTGATCTAGATGACCCTGCATATGTCCGTTATTAACAACCTGAATTCGACCTACTATGTTGATCCCCCTATCCCTTGTTCGAGCTATTCACCTGCTATCATGTTCGAGTTGTCATATACCGAGCTATAGGTACGTCTCCTATCAAGTGTCCAAGCTACACCATGTCCGATTTGTAGGTACGCCCCCTGTCATGTGTCCGAGCTATACCATGGCCGATCTACTTATGTATAAGTCTAAAATATCCCATATTCGAGCTACAAAAATGTCTAGTAAGTCTGAGCTGCAATTTGTCCGAGTTACTAATAAGTCTGAGCTACCACAATATATATAATGGCCTATTTGATCTACCGGAGCCTAATACGTACGTGTATTAGCGTCACGCTATCGAGTGCGTGAAAACTCCTTCCTCCATGATCACGTGAAGCCTACCACAAGGGTTTATGAGAAATATGATTCTTATTATTGTTCAAAATAACAAATCCTAGCTTTATATATAGCTAGGTGAAGCAACAGCTTTTAACATTATGGGCTTTCATAAACCAGCCCAAACTAAACAAAACGAAACCAATAAAATATAATAAATAATTATAATCAACTAATTATCATAGCGAGCGGGCCTTCGAATTATTCGGCGAGACCTTCTCTGGGCCAGGCTCACATCTCCATCAACATCAAGGCTCGAACTCGTGGTCGTATCAACTCCCCTTTTCTTCACTAACACCTTGTCCTCAAGGTGAAAATTAGGATATGCTTCACGAATAGTATCTAAACTCTCCCAGGTTGCATCTTCCAGTGGCAAACCATCCCACTGAATTAAAACTTGCGGCTGGACCACACCATGTTTGAGCACCGAGCGTGATGAAAGCACCAGTGGAAGGGCTAAAGTCAGGTAACCACCTGCGTCAACCGGCAATGGAGTAATTGAGGCAGTGGTCGATCCCACATACGGCTTAAGTTGAGAAACATGGAAGACTGGGTGCACTCGACTACCTGCAGGCAATTCTAAGCGGTATGCGACAGGACCAATACGCTCACGTACAGGATAAGGACAGAAGTACTCCTTCGATAATTTCTAGGAGTAACGTCTAGCCACGGATAATTGGTGATATGGTTGCAACTTGATCCAAACCAAGTCACCTACCTGAAATTCTACGTCACGCCGACTCTTATTAGCTTGTTGCTCCATTCGGAGTTGAACAGCACGCAAGTGTTCCTTCAAAGAGTACAACACCCTATCCCGCTCCACCAAAAGTGACTCCAGAGCATTAAGCGAAGTTGACCCACGTTCATAGTGCGGCACTACAGGTGGTAGACGGCCATACATAGGTTGGAATGGACTCATACCAATGCTAGAGTGGAAGCTGTTTTTATAATTAAATTATGCCCACCCTAGAAATTCCAACCAACGTCTCGTTTTATCAGATGTTAGGGCTTGTAAATATTGCTCCAAGCATCGGTTAACGACCTCCGTCTGTCCATCGGTTTGTAGGTGATATGCTGAGTTATGCTTCAATTTTCTACCACTCAACTTAAATAGCTCTTTCCAAAATTTACTAAGAAAAATTGGATCTCTGTCAGAAATAATGGAAGAAGGGTACCCATGAAGCTTGACGACCATATCCGTAAAAAGACGAGTCACTTTTCTAGCCGTAAATCCTGCAGCCAGGGACCCAAAATGAGCTGCCTTCGTCAATCTATCTACTACCACGAAAATCACATAATGCCCTTGAGAAACCGACAAATGTGTAATAAAATAAATCGACAACTATGTCCAAACAAGGGCCGGGATAGGTAACGGTTGAAGCAACTCCACCGAAGCTGTCGTTAAATTTTTCACTTGTTGGCACATAATGCATTCTTTTACAAACTGTTGAACATCACACCTCATATGGGGCCAATAAAAGAGAGTGGATAATGCGATCAGAGTTTTTTTTACCCCACCATGCCCTGCCATGGGAGTACTGTGAAATTCTTCCAACAACTTCAATCTTAACGGGGAGCTAGTAGGCAGGTAATATCGTGACTTGAAAATGAGCAATCCATTGACCTCACCATAATCATCAGACAACTCGCCATTCGCTAGTTTTTGTTGGAGTTCCAGCAAGTCAACATTAGTTAAGTTCTCATGGCGAAGCTCGTCTAAAAACGCTGGAACAGGCTTGCTAGAAATCGTAAAACATGAAGTTGAATTATTTTCTGTTGAGGAGTCAGTTCCAATATCAACTGGAGGAGACCGCGATAGAGCATCGACAATGACATTAAGTTTCCCGGGTTTATATTCGATCGAGAGTCGTAGCCGAGAAGTTTCCGCACATATTTTTGGTGTTTAGGAGTATGGACCTCTTGCTGCAAAATCTCCTTAAGGCTCTGATGATCCGTTTTGATAACAAATGGGTGGCCCAAGAGATATTGGCGCCATCTTCCCACAACTTCGGTTATCGCATGGAGTTCTTTAATGTAGGCTGAAGCACCCTGAAGACGGATTCCTAACTTGCGGCTATAGTAAGCAACAGGTCGGTTGTCTTGCAACAATACCGCGCCAACTCCAACATCTGATGCGTCGGTTTCGACAATAAATGGCTTATCAAATTTTGGAAGCTGAAGCACAAGGGTTGAGGACATAGCGTTCTTGAGCTCGCTAAATGCCTTAGAAGCCGACGGTGTCCATGAGAAATTTTTCTTGTGCAGCAAATCTGTGAGAAGAGCAGCAATAGTAGCATAACCTTTCATGAATTTTCGATAATAACCTGTTAAGCCGATGAAACCCCAAACTTGTTTGGTAGTGCACGGCTCAGGCCATTCAAGCATTGCCTGGACCTTCTTGGGATCTGCACGAACCATTCCCGCACTCACAATATGACCAAGATATTCCATAGAGCTTTCACCAAAACTACACTTCGAAAATTTTACATGTAAGGTATTTTCTTTCATACACCTCAAAACCAACCTCAAATGCTCGGCATGCTCGTCCTGGGATTCACTATAAATCAATATATCATCAAATAAAACAACCACAAAACGACGTAGAAAAGCGCATAGTATATGATTCATGGTGGCCTGGAAGGTAGAGGGAGCATTAGTCAACCCAAACGGCATGACCAAAAATTCATAATGGCCCTCATGAGTGCGAAAAGCTGTCTTAAACACATCTCGGTCGAACACCCGAATCTGATGATAACCCGCACGAAGGTCCAACTTAGAAAAAATCATTGATTTTCCCAACTCGTCGAGCAACTCATCCACTGTCGGGATAGAAAACTAATCCTTAACAGTTACCGCATTAAGTGCACGATAATCCACACAAAAACGAAATGACCCATCACATTTCTTGACCAGCAACACCGAAGTTGAGAATGGGCTTTGGCTGGGTCGAATGAGAACTTGTTCAAGCATCTATTGCACCAACCTCTCTATTTCATTTTTCTGAAAGTATGGGTAGCGGTATGGATGAACATTAATTGGCTTAGTGCTTGGCTCCAGATGAATTCTATGCTAAACAAGCGTCGTGGAGGGAGCTCGGTTGGTGTCACAAAAATCTCAGTAAACTCAGTGAGAACCTCTTTCAAGCTAGGGTGTACCGACCCAAAATCAAGAGATTGAGGTATCCTTTGAGGGGCCTCAGCCACAGGTGCGACGAAGTAAAGCTCGAAGAGTTCGTCAACCTTACTTTTACGCATAAGACTCTGTAGCATTCGAAAACTTATTTCTTTCTTCCCTAATGACGACTCGCCTTTCAGTACCACCTTCTTTCCTTTTCAATGAAATTTCATACGCGACTGGGTGTACGTGTGTAACTCGTCCTAACTCTTGAAGCCATTGAACACCAAGAATGATATTCGGGCCCTGTATCGGCAATATAAATAAATCGAGATTGAATTTAGTTCCCTGTCAATCAACCGGGACAGCCGTACACTTTCGGTCGCATACCAATGAGTCACCATTGTTGATATACACCCTAAATCCAGACGTGGGAACAAGGTTGAGCTGTAACTGTTCTGCTAACTTTGGTTGGATAAAATTATGAGTGTTGCCATTATCAATTAAAACTTCAAACTTATGTACACCTTTTTTTCCTAAAAGACGTAACGATCGGGGAGCCCCTTTTCCGATAAGAGAATTCAAGGTGGAGACATCACCCTGAATCAAGTCATCTTCACGTGCTCAATATCGTCTCCAAACACATCCCTATCCTCTACAAATGGATCAGAAATATCAGCTTCGATAAGCAATGCGGCGCTATGCTTGCAATTGTGTGTTGATGACCACTTTTGATAGTATTAAAACATTCCCCCTTCATGCATTTTTCGCGTATTTGAGCAGCAGAGAGACGATGAAAAGGCGAAGATGAAGGCTCTCGGGAGCCCTCTGGTGGTCCTGATGGTTTGGTGATCTGTGGGGATTGCACTGGTGCAATTGCACCAGCACGTCGATCCGGTACTAGCGGCCGAGAGAGAGAGCTCCCACCTGGAAAAGATGTGCCACGAGAAAATCCGCGCGAGTAAGTGCGACTCACAGCCTGCGTCTCTAGGTATTTACACTCAATGTCCCTAGCCAAAGCAAAAGTTTCATCCAAGGTGAAAGGCCTGTTCTGGAGATCCCGTCGAATGGTTAACTTAAGGCCTGATATGAAAAAAGAGATCAATAGTGGTTCTGTGATGCCTTTAGCACGGTTCATGAGAGATTCAAACTCAGACTGGTACTCAGCAACTGACCCTTGCTATGTGACTTTTGCCAGGCTGCCCTCCGGATCTTCAAAGTGCGACGCATCAAAACGGGCTTGAGCCCTGCGCAAAAAATCATCGCATGTAGAGAGCATTCCTTGTGACTTTAACCACTGGAACCATGTTGAAGCTTTACCATCCAGATGAAAAGCAACAATTTGGAGACGTTGTGAATCTGGGGTCTTATGGAATGAGAAATATTCTTGTATTTGAAAAACCAACGAATATGGGTCTTCGCCATCGAATCGAGGAACTTCAAGGCGAACTGAATGTCCACGATTTGGAGGTAGTTCCTCAGTCTGAGCGGTGAGAGATTGTTCCTGTTTTGGCTTGAGAAGGGCCAAAATTTCATCCATCCGAGCCTAAAAAGTCAATTGTTGTGCCTTTAATGACTGTCGTAGCTCTTGGTAACCCTGAGTACTCGAACGAACATAGTCATCCACTTGGGCGCTGAGCGCACCCAATTTTTGCTGCCATGATCCTTCGTCGTGCCCCATGACCCCACTCTCAATGAAAGCACCAATAATACGTACATGTATTAGCGTCACGCTATTGAGTGCGTGAAAACTCCTTTCTCCACGATCACGTGAAGCCTACCACAAGGGTTTATGAGAAATATGATTCTTATTATCGTTCAAAATAACAAATCCTAACTTTATATATAGCTAGGTCAAGCACCAGTTTTTAACATTATGGGTTTTCATAAACCAGCCCAAACTAAACAAAATTAAACCACTAAAATATAATAAATAATTATAATCAACTAATTATCGTAGCAAGCGGGCTTTCGAATTATTCGGTGAGACCTTCTCTGGGCCACGTTCACATCTCCATCAACATCAAGGCTCGAACTCGTGGTCGTATCAAAGCCTCCTTAGATCGAGCTAACTTTAGCTGGTTCACCCGAGCTATATCATGTGCTGTATCACCGTCCACAATAATGGGATCGAATTTTTCAGTGGTGGCGGATTAAAGCAATAGTTCCTCGTTGGTGCTTGAAAAAAAAGGTAGAATCTGCCGTTAGGCAGATAAACTGATACCTGATTCTGAAAAACTCTGGAGTCTCCACGTGTCTCTCTACATGGCAAAACTCCTCTTCCAAACACCCACAGCTCTCTTCTCATCCATGGCCTGTCCCTCTCCGATTTCCTTTTTGTGAAACAACAAATATTGAAAAAACTAGTTACTAAATTACGAAGTATTTTTAATATACGCGGTGATATGCACATACTTTTTGTCCATTTCTAACATTCTTCATTATTACCAGCGTTTGATTGTAAAAGGGTTATAACAGATCTGTGAAGCTCCGGTTTCTTTTTGGGGTTTCCTTGAATTTTTGGGTTTTGATAACAAAAATAGAGCTCTGCTATTGTGGGAATCCCTATTTCCAGGTAAAAATTCACCATTGTTTGGTTGTTCATCATTCTTCACTTGTTATACGTGTTTCGATTCGTACGGGTCGATCATTTAACTCGCAAGTTCTTACCTTTGCTCGAAAATCCTGATTCTTGCGTTTCTAGATTCAGCTCCTCGTTACAAATTTCTCAAAAATCCTTTTAAACAGTCTCCCTAACCATATCTCCTAAAAATTGATCCGAAAATGCTCTGATCTTTTTCTTTCTTTTTTTTTTTCGGTTTGGTTGAAAGGTAACAAAAGAAGCTAAACGGAGATCCCATTATCCGACCCCGAATCAAGCAATGGATGCCACTTCACCAGTCCCAGGCCCGAACGAAGATTCTCATCGGCTCAAATTCCTCTGCAGCTTTTCCGGCAGCATTCTTCCCCGGCCGCAGGACGGCAAGCTCAGATATGTCGGCGGGGAGACCCGCATAGTTACCATCCCACGCCACATAACCTACGAAGACCTCATGTCTAAAATGAAGGAGCTTTTCGAACACGTGGCCGTGCTTAAGTACCAGCAGCCGGACGAGGAGCTCGACGCCCTCGTCTCAGTCGTCAATGACGATGACGTCATCAATATGATGGAAGAGTACGACAAGCTGGGCTCAGTCGACGGGTTCACAAAACTCAGATTGTTCCTTTTCTCACCCCTCGAGCAGGACGAGGGCCCCCTGCCATTAATGGAGGGGGACAGCGAGAGAAGGTACGTCGATGCATTGAACAGCCTAAACGAGTCACCTGATTACAGAAAGCATCATCCCGGTGAATTGGGTTTGTCATCGTTCGATGACACTGAGCAGTACATGGAGCTCCCAATGGCTCAGATGAACCTGCGGCACCTGATCATTCCTCAAGTGGGGTCAGGCCAGGCTCAGGCCCAACAGCCTATCGGCAGCCAGCGGTTTAGTGAGGTGGAGGCCCCGTGGAGCCCGGCATACTACTCCCCTACCTCGCCCTCGTTGAGGTTACCAATGGAGGATTATGGGGTGGTTTTGCTTCCAGCTGGCGAAAAAGCGGCAGGTTTCCCTGGAAACTTGCTCCACCACCAAGTGGGGTCGAGCGCTTATGAAGGGAATAGCATTTGCGAAAATTGTAGGATGACATTTCAGAGGAATTGGACAGAGGATCCCAGACATGGTTATGTCATGGAAAATGGGCCGAGTGTTCCGTGTGGGCATGAGAATCAACATCATGGTCGCTCGGGCATTGACTATGGTTATGATCAGGCACACTTGCCATTCATGGATGAACGTGGGGTCCGCTATGGAAATCCGGCTACGTTTGTATATGGGCCTCATGGTCATATGCCACCGCAGTCCGCCTGGCGGAATGTTCACGGCCCGTTCCAGATGGGAAGCCCGTCTTACGAGATGCCCGTTTCGTCTCAGATGGTTAATGGCTCTTTGAGTGGGCCGATGGGATTTGTGAGGGCTGGTGTAGAGAATCAGAGCTCTGAGTCGTCACAGAAAGCTGCAGCAGTTGATGCTTCTTCTCTCATGCCGGACTATTCTCACTTCCAGGCTGTGAAAAATACTCCCAATAGACAATTTTTGGACAACGTCCAATCTGCATCTCTTGCTCCTTCTGGCGTAGAGTGCGAAAATCGGAATGGAAGTAGTAAGTTTGTTAAGGTAAACAGGACCTGTGGGTATGAAGAGGGTAAAGAGAAAAGTAATGAAGTGAAGGGTAAAGAATGTGGTGTTCCTGAAAATAGAGAATCTGCGTTTGTTGAAAATAGTGGTGCTGTAAATGAGTCTAATAATGCCAATGTTCTTGAGGAGAAACCGGATGATGGACAGGAATTTTTACCCGAGGTAATTGTTTCCGTGAAAGAGGCTGCTCTGCAGAGTTCGGAGGTGGTGAATGCGAAAGCTCAGAAAGAAGACAAAAATTTGGGGAGCGACCGTGGTTCTGTTGAAAAAGGAGATGTTCAAAATCGCAAAAATGGAGCAGTAAGTATTCAAGTTTACTAATTTGTGCGTTTTGATATTGTACTTATTCGCAAATGACGTATCATTATTTGATAGGATGACAATGCGGACTTGGAGGTAGAAGATGATAGCAGTGATAATGTTGATAGCTCCAAAATAGAACTGACCAAAGCTGAGGAAGAAGCTCTTGATAGAGGATTGCAGGTTGTTTGTAACTTATGGGTTGATGTCTATTATAGTCAGTGAGTTATACATTTACACGTGAACTAACATGCCATTTGAGAAACAATCATTTCCAGCAAGAAGTGTTCTCTTGTCATGCCATTTCTTATCTATGTATTTCTTTTCCTCGTAGACTATAAAGAATGAAGATCTGGAGGAGATTCGGGAGTTGGGTTCTGGGACATATGGTGCTGTGTACCATGGAAAGTGGAAGGGATCAGATGTAGCCATAAAAAGAATAAAAGCCAGTTGCTTTGCTGGAAGGCCATCTGAAAGGGAACGTCTGGTAATCCTTTTTCTTCTATCTTAAAAACTTCGTCTTAAGTTAAATGTGGAGTGAGTTTCTTGGGAATAAGTAAGTTATCCTTGATTACTCGAAGTAGAGACCATGATAAATAAGAAATTGTTTCCTTCCATGAGCTATTATTGTAGTGCATATTTAGCGAAAACCATTGGCTTTTATGAAGGTACATCCTACTTATGATTGGAAATATTCTCGTCTAGCTAGTGTAGGTTGCTTTTTTTGAAGAAAAAAATAATTTATTTATAAAATAAAAAATGTGCAAAGGTGGACCACTTTTGGAGAACATACAAATATCCATAAACCATTTCTGTAAATATAACATTGATATGATTTTTATGGCAATATTCTAATGTCTGCAGTTAATTAATAGTTATTTCTGTACAGATTGCTGATTTTTGGAAGGAAGCTCTGATACTCAGTTCCTTGCACCATCCAAATGTCGTCTCTTTTTATGGAGTTGTTCGAAACGGCCCTGAAGGATCTCTAGCAACAGTGACGGAATTCATGATTAATGGATCTTTGAAACAATTTCTGCAAAAGAAGGACAGGTATTCTTGAGTGTTATTGCCCCGCATGTTCTTTGTCAATGATGTATGTATTTATTTATTTATTTATTATTTCTGAGCAGAACAATTGATAGACGGAAGAGACTCATTATTGCCATGGATGCTGCATTTGGCATGGAGTACTTGCACGGGAAAAATATTGTTCATTTTGACCTTAAATGCGAAAATCTGCTGGTAAATATGAGGGACCCACACCGACCTGTGTGCAAGGTAGACTACTGACATACTGAAAAACTCCTTATCATATGCTGTGTGCAGCATTTTTCTTGAATAAAATTTTTCATACAATTTTTATTTTTTATTTTTAATTAGATTTGAGGAGGGTTTTAGTAAATGCTGATAAACATGCCTGAGATCAGATAATTGTGGTGCTTCTGATATTGGAACAGTATTTTGGGTACTTTCTTCAAAATCAGAAGTTATTCTTGACATATCTTCAAAGTTTTACCATTTCAAAAATGCATCTTCCCGTTGTAATTACCCATATCATAATTCAGATATGGGTGTTTAGTATTTCTAATTATTATTTGACTGTTTTTAATGGTATTTTCAGCTTGTAGCTTCTACTTGTAAGCTAATCTTACTTCTGATTACTACATTGAATCACTCTTTGGCTAACAGCTGTAGTGGTTGTGGTCACTCTTGAAAACTTTGTTTTATCGTTGTGATTTTCTTGCGGTGTGCTGTATGTTCCATTCCTTTGAATCAGGTCATATATGAGAAGCTTATTTGTTCATCTGATTGAATATTTCATAGATTGGTGATCTCGGATTATCCAAGGTAAAACAACATACTTTAGTTTCCGGAGGTATACGTGGGACATTACCCTGGATGGCCCCTGAACTTCTTAGTGGCAAGAGTAACATGGTCACAGAAAAGGTAATCTCTCTCTCTCTCTCTGCTCTCTCTCTCCCTCCCTCCCTCAAAAGGAAGTTCAATTTTATGCTTTGCAGATTGATGTTTATTCATTTGGGATATGCATGTGGGAGTTGCTTACTGGTGATGAGCCTTACACTGATATGCACGGTGCTTCTATAATTGGTAAGCACAGTATAAATTATTAAGCATGTTGGTTATTTGTTTTGCATGCTGTATAATGATCATTATCACCATAAGTTGATTGGATATTAGATAACATTTTTGTTGCTGGTAAGGGAAGCCCTTACAATTNGGATCTAGTTTTTGTAAAATCTCGTCTTGTCAAGTTGTGAAATCTTGAGTTCATCAATTTATTTTCGTGCTCCTTGGTTGTTCTTAAAGTTGATTCCAAAATTGCTATTAAGGTTTGGGCTAATTGGGACATTTGTTTTAAAACTAACACCTGAAAGTTTGTAATTAACTTATGGCTACCCCTTCATTTTTCTAACTAGAAAAAAATAAAACGAGTTTTTGGATTAGTCCAACTTTTGATACCCGTGTCTTGTTTTCTTTTGCTGATCATCTAGAAGGTGAAAAAGTAAAAGCCTCCTAAAATTAGAATTTAAACATTCATCATTGACAAACAAACTAGTTTTACCAATTCGTAGGTGGCATTGTGAACAACACACTGCGCCCGCAAATCCCGACATGGTGTGACCCTGAGTGGAAGTCACTGATGGAAAGCTGTTGGGCCTCCGACCCAACCCAAAGGCCCGCATTTTCGGAAATTGCTCAGAGTTTGAGGAATATGGCTGCTGCCATGAATCTCAAATGATGCCATTTTTTATGGACAAGCAGTAATTTTTCACTTATGTAAGTTGTTTGATTCGTGCTTCCTGAGTATTTATAAGCACACGTTTAGTGGGAACTGTAGAACACCACTCCCGCGCCTCCCCTACCACTCATTTTATAAAGAAAATCAACATTTGAAATTCTTCCAACTTTGACATATAAATACATGCTTGATGTTTGTCAAGAATATGAAGATGGAATTGGGCACGGATGAATATTAGAGGCGTTCTTTAATTAGTAAGCAAAAGATTTATGCTCCCTCGTGTATGCTAACTTATTGAATCGTGCAGGCTATTGGGATGATGATCATGCAGTTAGTGGAGTGGTTTCATTCTTCCATTTTTATGTTTTAGCTCGAAACTTCGGTGGCGATTGAGATGGAATGTACATATATAATTAAAGGAAGTGTTATCGGTGGAGAATGGGATTAAACATTGTTGAAGAATCTCTATCTTGTACAAGTCCACACTAACGTGTTATTAAACTTATCATATTGCACCAACCTTCTCACATTTTTAGGCTGTAGAAGGTGATGTGTTGGCATGCTGGGGGTAGTTTAGGTATGCATGGCCTTTGGCCTTTTTCCCTCACTCTATTTACTCTCCAAGAACTTGTGCTTGTGAAACTCGGATTTTGAACGTCTGAGGAGATTATGCCTAGTGATTGAAGCGGGACTGAGTTNAAATCTTGAAGGTGGACAAGTTGCTTCGAAAATGCGAAGAAATTATTATTTTGATCATGCATCAGGTCTACTGTTTGGTCGTAGAAGAGTGATTTGGAGTTTATTCATGGGAAGTGACCGATCTTATATTATATCAATTGAACTTAAAAAATAAATGTCATAAATTTAATTTAGCAATAAATTTGTACTGCAAATGTGCAATTCAAAACTGGATCGTTCACTCGAAGCAGCAAATATATATAGAGTGTGTACACTCTGTCTCAAGTAGGGAGTGGGAAAAGTTTGTTTAAAAATTTCAACATTTGTTAACATTTTCCAAAGAAGACGCATAATTCATGCGAGCCGGATAAAAAAATTCGCACGTACCAATGCTTAGGACGTTGAAAGTTCAAACAATTCATGTAATCTATATCTATATCTATATCTATATAAAGAGGTTGTTGGAAAAATACATTAATAGAAAGTTTGACCAAATAAATATAATGTTTGACTTACTATTAATGGAAAGTTAAAAAAAACCACATGTGTTCGTTAGTAACAAAATCTAAATTCTATTTTTTTGGTAACAAATTTAGAGATTTTTATGGCAAAATTTGAATCACATTTTTTTCGTATCATATCTTATTTTTTTTTTTACAAAATTTAAATAAATAATGGGTGAAAATCCCTAAAAAATTCTACTTTAATTTTGTTTAATAAATAAGATCCTTTAATTTTTTAAAATTTGTTAACTAATAACTAATAATATGCAATTTCGGATAAATCCGAATACCTATGTAGTACTTTACGTGCCAAAGAATCAAATCAATAATGTTGTACATAAGGAATGTTTAATAACATATAAATTTCATTTTCATGAAATTTTTAATGGTACGAGACAGTTTAAATATAAAAATATCCTTTAAAAAATAAATGGATAATAAATGCTCCGTACATCGTACGGGCACCGTACTAGTTGCAGAAGTAAACAGAAACAAGACAACAAAGATGACACACATAACATAACATACTTTTTCAATAATATTAGGTGCATTGATCCGAAATAGACAAAAGCTTATTTTATATTAAGTCTTAATCAACAAAAGCATTATACCTAAATAGATGAAAAGGCGCGGCAATTTCGAATGTCAGTTCCAATCTCCTGCATGAACCATTTTTGAGTGCTGCTTCATGGATGTTTTTCCAAGAATTCTGTTCAAAAAAGCTGTCTTGACATCCAACTTGTCAAATCTCATAGTCCGTATGAACAATAACACCCACAAAAATCCAGACAGACTTAAGCATGTCTACTGGTGAAAAAACAAAGTCATAATCGATCTCTTTCTTTCTTTTCTGAGTCTACTATTTCACAAAAATCCTCCATTTAAAAGTCTACCATTTCTCTTGTTGAAAAAACAAAAAAAAGAGAAAAAATTCTCTAAGGCTATCAAATTGTTAGAAATGTGATGATTATTGTAGTATAACATATATTTTGTTTTTCTGGTCACCTTACAAAAAATAAGCTGCCTTACAAAAAATAAGTTGTGTCACCTATTACAAAATACCTGAATATATTTTGTTTTTCTGGCACAACAAAATGTATCCCTATACTGGATAAAAACTAAAAGCATTGCCCACATACATCTATACTGGATAAAATAAAAGCATGAATAGTCCATCCATATACTTTGTAGTGCAGGCACAAGTAAGTATATGGTCTACTCTTGTTTCAGGGAGAAGACGCAGTGATAATCTCCACCAATGACTTGAAATCCTCCGCGGAAGTTCCTCCCTCCGCCACGGCCCGCACACCTTTCTCCTTAAGCCTCCCTATATTCTCCCTCATCACCTCCCCCGACACCACGGCCTCCAAGGCCCTCAACGTGCCCGCCCTCGTGAACACTCCCCCTTCCACTCCCACCCCAATCCCCCACACTTCCTCCACCCGCCGCCGGTTTATCATCTGATCTCCGAAAAACGGACGGCACACCATCGGCACCCCACCCGACACCGCCTCCACCACCGAATTCCACCCGCAGTGCGTCACAAACGCCCCTACCGACGGGTGGCCCAACACCTCCCGTTGTGGGGCCCACCTCACGACCTTCCCTGTAGAGCCCGTGGTGCGCTCGAAGAAGCCCTCCACCACTTCCCTCTTGGAGTCGTCTCGGAAGGACCAGAGGTAAGGGAGGCGCCTCTCCTCGAGGGCCTCTGCTAGGGAGAGGAGCTCTGGAGGGGGAGGGGTCAGCATTGTGCCGAAGCTGATGTAGGCGACCGAGGCTGGCGCTTGGCGCGCCAGCCACGCCAGGCAGTCGTCGTCGTCGTCGGTAGAATTGAGAGGTGGGTGGGTTGGTAGGAGGAGAGGGAAGGGGCCTATTTGGAGGAGTTTACGGAGGTTGGGGATGAGGTGGCGCTCGACATCAGGGTCGACTCCGTCAAATGAGTTGAGGACGACAGCTGTGGCTGAGTTGGGGAGGACGAGGGACATGGCGTGGAGGAGGCGGGAGAAGGCCTTGTCCGGGTTAATTAGGATCTCTGGGGGTAGATCCGATGCGTGTATTGCGGATAGGCATGGGATGAAATCCAGTGTCCGACGCTCCTCAACTGGACATCATTTATAATAAGTATAAAGTAATGGGTAACGCTACAATCCCGTTACGATACCATTCCCTTGAGATTTTGTAACCGTTAGATGTACACGCTATACTAATCTACATGTGCATCTAACGGTTACAAATCCCAACGGAATGGTTCCGTAACTGGACTGTAGCATTTTTCTAAAGTAACTACTGTGGATCTAAATGCTAGTAATAACCGTGAATATCCAACTATTAACGTACCTTATCTAACAAAAAACGCAACTAATGTACGTAAATCGATTCGAATCAAACGACTCACCATTTCCCCCAAATTTGTGGCGAATCAAGTCGGTGTGCAAATGCATGGAGAGTGCGGCCGTACCCGCCGTCCAGAAGGCCACCCAAGGAATCCCGAGATCCTTGGCCACATCGGCTGAGAAAGACAGGAAGGCGTCCGTGAGGAGACAGGTGGCACTCGACCCCCGCTCGGCCACGACCTCCTCCAACCGCCGCCTGAAATTCCCCGGAGTCACCCGGAGAAAAAGCTCGACCCTCTCTAAGGGGTTGCCGGAGAACACGTGGCCCTCCGGCGCTCCGTCAGCGATGTCGTATGTCTTCACGTTGCCAGACTTGTCGAGATCTGCGCCTGCGAGAAACTTCCGATTAGAGTCGGCCGTGTTGAAGAAGGAGAAATCGACGGCGGGGGCAGAGGCGGCCAGGTGCTGCATGAGTTGGAGCATCGGCGTCGGGTGCGAGCCGAAAGGGAATGCAAACACGATCACGTGTGGCTTGTTTTGCTTCTCGTTTGTCATTTTACCCCCTTTAATAAATAAAATAACCAAAATTTATTTATATTATTTAAAGCTTATAAAAAAAGATAATTGATATTTTAATTATAAATAGTATTTTATTTATTTATTTTACGTTTACCAGAATTTAAAAAAATAAACTGAATAAATAATAATTACTTCAATTATTTATAACAAATTCAAAAATAAGAGTTTTATTGAAAAAATAAAATTTATACATTTATCGACATTTAAAAATATTAAATAATATAAAAGATATATAAAGAAATAAATGAAATCATATATAGCTATTAAATAAAAAAATAGGTTATTTTAAAATTACTACTTTAATAATATATTATATTTAGAAGTATCATTTTATTTTATTATAAATATATTAAATTTAATTTAATTTAATATATATATACTATATTAGTTCAATTCCTCAAAAAGTATATTTAAGTTTTTTTCTAAAATTTATTTTAAATTATATTTTTTAATTTAATTAAATAAAATTATTATTTTATTTTTTATATTAATTAGTAATATATTTATTTATTATCTTCAAATTTAACACATAGTTTTATTCAATTTAATTTTTATGTTATTTTATCTTAATTATATTTCTTTATAATTACTTTATTTTTTGATTATTTTATTTTTTATTTTGATTAAGTTTTTCTCTGTGTTGTTGTTCTAAATAAAAGTGGTGCTAGATATGTACCATAGAATGATGGTGGTGTAGTGGGTGGAAGCCTTGCTATGGAGATTTTGGCCCAGGTTCAAATCTTAAGAGCAGCAAGGCATTAATTTTTGCTAATAATGGCTAGAAAAGTAAGGGACAAAATAGTAAATTTTAATTTTCAAATAAAAAAATATATGAAAAAATTGAATAATTATTGTATAACAGCAATGTGTACTGAACGCGCCCTCAAGTTGGACGGAGAGGGGGGAATCGTGGGGGGAATCATGCAACAGTGGGTTCTGACGTAATTTTTAAAGTACTTGGAGAAAACGTGCAGATTTCATATAATACAGTGGGATTATGTATATTTTACCCGATATATAAGTAGTGAAATCATAATTAGTGATAGTAAAAAAAAAAACGAGTAAGTTGTAGTTATATATCAATGCTCCAGGTTTAGGTTTGGTCAAAGGTTCTAATACTGGTCAAAAGGTTTGTATACCCATGAGTACTTTTGATTTTTCACATGAGGGCATTTTCGTCATTGTGCAAAATACATTGTTACGTTATTATATTTTTACATGCCTTAATGTGCATTTCGACTAACATGTGCATTATGTAGCCCAGTGACATTTAGTAAATTCACTAACTTTTAAATGTGTAGGCAGTGGTAATTCTGTAATTTTATAAATATAAGACGGTATTTTTAATGTGCATATAATACACGCAATATCATGCATTTTACTTATCATTATTGTACATTTACTAAACTTCTGATAAATTTTAGATTCGACCCATGGACTAAATTGCAATATAGTTAAAACTTCTGAAATTGTAGATAAGTCCGTAAAACTTATCTAATAATTTTTTTTTAAAAAGCCAGCCCCAAAATAGATTTTTCGTCTCGTATATCGGCTCAGCTACCGTCGAACTTCAGAAAAGTAGATCCTCCGCCTCGCAACCACCACCAACACGTGATGGACAGTGGCGACGGTGACAACTGCGGCTGGCACAAGAGAACCTTTTGGATGGGGAGCCCCCCCGCCAAGGTCGGGGTATCTACTTCCCCTTCCTCGTCAAACCTCCCAGAGGTTCGTCTCCAACAACTAAATGTTGGTCGCTGTTGACGAGTGGGAGACCTTGGTAGGGGCGACGACGTTTGGTATTTGCAAACATTATTTCATCAAACTGCTTATTAAATTTTGAATTCAAACAATACCCTATTATAAAACACAATGACTTAATAGTTCTAATCTGGATCGAAATTATCCTTCATTTTAACATCATGCTCGTTAACCTTTACGTTTCCCATCAAGGCAATGGTTGATTGAGCAACAAATCTAGGCTCATCATTTAGAAGCTCCATTAGGTTGCGCTTTGCATTAGAAGTGTCATCGACCCTTTCGCTATTTTTAACAACCTTTCAATGGGGTGAAACCTCATCTTTCCCGATTGTGTCCTATAAGAAATTTTAGATAGTACAAGAAATCGTATGTAGTATAAACAAACTTGATTGGCAAAAATTGCGTCAAATATTAATAAAAAAAAAATGGCTGAGAAAAAAAATGATAACATATCTTTCCATTGTTAGTTTCTTTTATGATGAATATTCATGGATGTTCTTGTATGGTGAATATAGACGTTCTTTGGAAAAGGCATACAATTCAGAATTTAATCATGGGCTTGTTGGTCCTAGTGATATGCGTAATAATACCCCGGCTTAGTCATTTTTTTTTTTTTTATATATATATATTTTCTTTCTCCTTTCTGCCGATAATGAATCACTCTGTTGTGATAGTGAATTAGAAAACCGGAGGGAATGATCCTCTTATAGACAAATATAAGTGATTGAGACGTTGAAAATGATAAAGTGATAAAGTCAAATTATGATTCATACGTTCAACTTGATAAGATAGAATAAAAAAGATTTGCAAATTGAAATTTTGGGTTACTTTTGTACGATTATTTCGGTGTGTGAGACGTTCAAAATGAGAAGATTGTTTTTACGTTCTATTATTCCGCAATTTTGGGTTATGAAAATTGAGATTGATAAACAATATTTATTACATTGATTTAAAATAAATATATGATTATATGTAATTCTGGATAATTTTGTCACCTTTAACTGGGATGAAAATATCTTTAACAACATATTGAAAAATGAGAGCGTGGTATGTGTATGAATAACAAACTAATATTTGAAAATGCACTTTTAGTTTATCCATGACTTAATTAAATAGAGTCCATAATAAATAAAATACCAAATGAAGATATTTCTATTATATCGATCTCAAATATGTAATAAATTGAACTCAATACGCATGAAATTAATTGAATGGATTTCTTACTAAAAAAGAATGCNAAAACAAAAACAAAAAAAAAAAACAAAAGAATATAATTTTTTTAGGATAAAATTATGTTTCAAAATTATAATTATTTAGTAATGGACTGCATGTACATGCATTCATTTTATATCGGAAGCAATAAGAATCAATATTTTAAATTAAATGAATATAAGGATTTTTTTTCTCAATTTTTATGCCTTCCTTTTTTAGGAAGTGTGAAATTATTTAACTTACTATACGTAGTAAATCGTATTCTCTTTTTATAGTTATGGATAATTTTTCGTTGTGGAGTATTATGTGTGCTAGTGTGATAAATTAACTATGTAAATTTAACTCATAAGAACATAAATCTATAAAAAAATTGGAAAAGTCTACAATCCCGTCACGGAATGATTCCGTGAGGGTTTTTAGCCATCACCATCACGAAATCATTCTGTGACGGGATTGTAGCATTTTCTAAAAATATTATATGAAATTATAACAACCGTCTACCTACCTACTACCCTCCGTGTATCCCCAATTTCGGACTAACTACTCAATCTTATAACTTTATTTGTGTATTTTCGTACCCTATTTCTGAATCACATAATGCGATAGTAAACTAAACTAATCGTACTTCGGAATGATTGAGCGAAAAATATAAAGTGAACATAAAATTTTGGATAAATAAATCACATTAGAAAAAAGATTTCATAAGTTTCAAATCAAATATCCTCTATAGATAAATCAGATGGAAGTTGATATCCAAATATCATAGAGTAGTCATCCATCTCATCGCTTTTGAATTTTGGTATTCTCCAACCTATCTCTGAATCTTGACCATATTTTAGCAGCTCCATCACCTATTAAAAAAAAAATAATATTAGTAAGTTAGTTAATAAGCAATAATATAAAGGTAAATTAATCTTTGCAGTATGGNGTACAAACTACTATTTTCATTTTATTTCGTTTGCAAACAAATAAAATGAGTAAAAAGGAATAATTGCCACATCTTTTCCACATGTTTAAGATATTAAAAAATGGCCAATAGCTAAATAAAACTAAATAGTACTTGAAAGACATAATCTATAAGGACATATTTGATATGATTTGCGCTATTTTTCTTATTATCAAATTTGACCTCTAACATTGATATTTTAATTACTAAATAGTGTAAAATCCTAATGTGATAGAATATACAATATTATTAATTATTATTTTTTCTCTCTTACTAATTAATTAAATAATAATAAAAAAAATAAAAGTTGCATACATTATCCACTAATAATGACATAAGTGGAGCCAACCTTCTATATACAACAAGTAAACCATACCATATTATTTCAATTACTAAATAGTCTAAATTCTTTATCTCATGTCGGTCATTCATTATGACACAGTAGATTATTTTTATACCACGTCAAATTTATTGATCAAAATAAGAATTTTTCATCATTTGTGATCAAAATAGCAATATATAATAAACCTAGTTTAATTATAAGTAGACTATTTATGAAATATTGTATCTTTTATTAATATTAATTCATCAATTAGTAATCAATGATATATAATAAAAAAAAATTACATTATTTTGCCACATTAGCATTTTACACCATTTTTTTTTTTCAATTTAAACGCCAAATCAATGAACCAAATTTAATGATATTTCAATATAAAATTACTTATATAAATATGCCAAATTAGTGTACCATATAAAATTTTAACTCATGTTTAACATGCGAAGACAAAAGGTTGAAACAAATGATCAAAACTGCACGGACGAATTTAAAAAGAAGAAAGAAAACAAATTGATTAATACCTCAGTCATAGATGGTCGGTATAATGAAGATTGCCTTACACAATACGACGCCGTTAGGGCTACTCTAAACAATTGGTCCATTTCATATCTGCCTTCCAATTTTGGATCAGCCAACTCCCTTAAATTTCCAGATTCCATTAAAGGCCTCGCCTGGATCACAAAAGAAGTTGAAATAAGCAATTTATTTGACGAGGAAACTAGAAATATGACATAATCAAAGAAAATGTATACCCAGAGAAGTAGGTTTTGTCGGGCTGAGTCAACGGGCCTCCGGCCCGTCACAATCTCTAAAATAAGAATCCCAAAGGCAAAAACATCAATTTTCTCATCCACAATCCCATGCATGAAATATTCGGGAGCCAAATAACCAAATGTCCCCTCAATCGGAATACCCAAATGGTGACTCCATTTGTTAGGCAGCCATTTCGCAAGACCAAAATCAGATATCTGTATTAACCAAAAAAAGAAAAAAATATTGAATTTAATTCCATTTATTTAATAAATATGGACTATATATATATATATATATATATATATATATATATATATCAGAAATGAATAATAAAATTATAGAAGAATGGAAAAATTGAGTTATTTTCATTTACCTGTGGTTCGTAATCTGGACCAAGAAGAACATTAGAGGCTTTAATATCACGATGGATTATTCTATGCTTGCAGCATTTGTGAAGATAATGTAAACCCTTTGCAATCCCCAGGATTATTTTGTATCTAACTGCCCAGTCAAGGGATTTGCTTGTTTGACCTAATTAGACAATAATCCAACTCATTTCAAAATACTCATATAAAGAATCAAGGCAAAAATTGAAAATTGTTCCTATAATTTGGCCACTGTCTAAAAAACCATCCTGATATTGACCACTTTCAATTTAGGTCATATAATTTGTCGATTTCATCAATTTTGATCCTTTTTTATCCGCACCCTGGATTAAAAAGTGGCGTGGCATGAAAAAATGACCAAAATTGATGAAATCGACAAATTATAGGACCTAAATTGACGTGCCACGTAGATCATAATCACGCCATGTAACATTAAAAAATTGACACGTCATGCCACGTCACTTTTTAATCCAGGGTGCGGATAAAAAAGACCCAAATTGATGAAATCGACAAATTATAGGACCTAAATTGAAAGTGGTCAATATCGGGCTGGTTTTTTGGACAGTCACCAAGTTATAGGCCCAATTTTGAAATTTTACCTTTCTTTTTCTAAGCATTTGTTGAACTCTAACAAATTACTTGCTTATAGATATAAATATGTTGATGAGTGCATATAAATAACCCACCGTGTAATGCAGATGCGAGGGTTCCATTGGGATAGAATTTGAAAATGAGATAGAGTCCATTCTCTATGCAATAGCCAATCAATTTTGCAGTGTTTGGATGGTTCACTTGCCCAATTACTCCTAACTCATTAAGAAATTCTTTTTCCTTTTTTGAATTATTGTTATTATTATCCTTAGCCAAACGCTTCACTGCTATGCTGCATGCATTCTCAACTTCCCCTCTGTAAACCTCTGAATACCCTCCTTTTCCCACCATCTTATCTGCACCAAAATTTGTTCTAAACTATTTTTGTACTGACACAAAAAAGAAATTCAAATTAATTAAGCAAAAAAAAAAAATAATAAAAAAAAATACATACCTATGTCGAAATTATTTGTAGCATTCGCAATTTCTTGATAAGTAAAACACCTCAGCAGAGGCCCCTGCTTTTGGTTTCCAAATGAGGCATCATCACGATTTTGCTTTCTCAACCGAAAAAGGCCTGAAATTGATTTGAATGCTGACTTGGATTTTTTACTCGATTCTTGTTGCTTCCCTTTCGATGCTGTGGACATGTTTGCGCTGATTATTATTTCGTCTGAATTCGAACATTTTTCATAATCATCGGCCGCTTGAAAATCAAACACTGATCTTGGTGATGGTTTTTTGGACTTCATGTCTAGTATTGTTTCGTTTTCCTCGGACGAAATTGAATTTTCAGTGTATGAGTGGTTTTCAGACTCCCCATCGAATTCTGTCAATCGTCGTGTAAATTGATGAATAAGAGAATAGAAATTGTGGCAACATTTTAGTTTTAATTTGAATACATTCCAAAATTGACATCTCTTTCAAGGGTTTGTTATGAAAGCCAAACTTTAAATTCAAATAGTTTTTCATTATTGTGTTGCACATAATCCTTTTAAGTGTTGTGTTACACATATAGAAAATCATACACCATTTTTGACCATCCAAAATTTTCATAAAAGAGAAAAGATATTGGGAAAAAGACTAATTTGGAGAGTAAGTGTTATTCAAACCATCAAATTCTGGTAATATTAACAGTACTCTGATGTTTATTTTGGGGCAACTACAAAAAATACACAGAGACTAAATATAACAAGTCATTATATTACAAATTACATGCATTCCAAGCATCTTCATTATATAAAGAAAAGTTCAGTGTCATGTTACTATCACATTCAAAGCAAATGGGTCAAACTACCCATTTTCATATACCAAATATATTTTGTAGCCACTAAAAAGGACATGGATGCCCTCAAAGTTAGTTTATATCAAAGGCCATCTAAAAAAAGGACGAAAAAAACAAAGTACTAACCATTAATGGAGTTTGCTTGAAGATGTTGTGCTAGAGTTTGATCATTTCTTGGGACGAGGACCAATGAGCAACCGTCAGGGACATTCTTACAGCAGTAACCGGAGATTTTGGTTGGCCCTCTATTTGGCAAAAGTGTCAATGCAATTCTCGAAATTTTCTTCCACAAATTTGTTATGAACGATTTTCTTTCTGACCTGTTTGGCGATTTGTTTCCATTGCTGCCTATCACCAGATAATTTGCCCTCGTTATTTTCGCTTCCTCTATCAATCCTTTACCTGTACTTGAGCTTAATCCAACTCTAGCCTCCAAATACACCTGATAATAGTATGATCAAAGCATATTGAGCTTCCCAAAATGAAAGACATTAGTAATTAAACATATTCATTTTGATATGAGTTACATTGGTTAGTTAGGGGAAATTGCATTTTTAGTCCTTTAAACGATGAAATTTTCTCAATTTTGATCCTTAAGACTGGCCACATATCAAAATATCATTCTGGTTAATGCAATTCAAGGTTTAGTACTGATTAGGCCAAACTTCAGGGCATTTCTTTGAACTACTACAGTAATATGTTGTCCAAATTAAATATTTCTAACAACAACAACAACTACTACTACTATTACTACTGATTGCGAAATTTGTTGAGAGATATATATTGCCTCGTTAGCGTGACATGTATCGATAAGGTCTCCCATGATAGATATAACAAATGATTTGGCCTGCCGAAATTGTTTTTGATGCTTTATCCTCTTCGCGTACTTGTCCTCTCTTCTTGTTTTCTTATTTGGCGTTGCTTCTGTTTTATCTGCCAAACACAAACTAAAAAAATTGTCTTCATTGTTAATTTTATTTACATAATGTGGGTAGTTTGTAAGAAAAAACTAACCGATTACATGTAAGGCCACGATAGTGTCCCCTGGTTGTGCAAGAACTTCGATAGCTCGACCGAGAAGCTCTTTACTTTCATCAGCATCCAATGAAATCCCTATAAGAATTTTTGCAGGCAATGAGGGTATCATTGTAATATTTGTTCTTATTGATTGAGTGAGAAATTTAGTTAAAAATTGTCCTATTGTGTGTTTTGACTTGATTTCTAGATTTTCAACTCTTATAAACTATGTGAGCTCGTTGCCCTTCAAATATAAGCATGGGACCAAATTAAGATGGTAGAAAAGGATTGAGACCACCTACGAGGGAATCAAATTTTCTTATTTGACAAGCAAATTTGAGGCAAATAA